AATCTTCCAAGTTTAAATGATATTACGTATCCATATCAGGTAAAAAGCGAAATTAATGTATGGAAAAGGATATTAACCTTTTGAGGCATACAACGGTATTTTAAATACTTTAACTGACAATGCTATGAAAACAGCCAATCACGTAGTTCGAACATCGCGTCCAGAAAATTAATGAACGATTTGATCGAGATGTGTCAAGTGTATCCTTGCAAATCAATATCTTGCTTTTTATTCTTATGGATAAGTAATAAAAGTATTTGGAGATACGTCTCTTCAAAGCTCATTTTATACTGGAACTGCAGTGAAGCCAATGCCTAAATACCGGGATACCACTGCAAAACTTCATTTTCTAGTTTTTTTTTTTAAATATCCTCCTGTAGAGCTAATACGAATCCATAGTTTTCGTCAACGTGTACTAGTTCTATCTCGAAACCTAATGATATTTGGCTTCCTGTAAATGATTCTACTCCCGTATGAGTTTCTTAACGTCGTCTATGACATATTGTGGTTTTATGTTTTTCTTCAAGCCTTTCGTAATTTCGGACCCGAATTCACCCTGTCAAATCACGTGTAAGTACGCCATTGGTTTTCTTATTCAGATTTTCATAATGGAACTGTTGTAGTTTATAGAATAATATGCCGCCGTTTTTTCAATCCAATATATAAAAGATGTAATAGAATTAACTTTTTGCAACAACAATGAAGGATTGATTGTGTCTTCTTATGGTATAATAAGCTCCGACAATCACTGTGTCATATCCGGCGATTCTTGAAGAATACATTGCTAAATATTCCTGTGTGTATGTCCAAGCAATACAAACAAACAGTGAAAGGCCCTGACTTTAGGGCTGACCTATAAGTCATAATTGTGTGTAATTTGTAACATGATTTCAGATTGTAACAGAAACCTGCATCACATTATCAAAAACGTGTTGTAATGTGAGACGAGACACGCACGCCCCTAGAATATTACTGTTTTTTTTTATTGTGACAAAGTAGTATTATTAATTTGGATAGAGTGGTGCCCAAACACCGTCAATTCATAAATGAATATTTTTCGTTTTGGAGCTGAAGAAGGACCGAACATCAAAAAAATGCTAATAGGATAACTGTCTACAGCCTATATAATATGTAAATGTTTTATCTGTATTTATAATGAAATGTATAGATTGGGGGAAAGGGCAGTCATATTTTAGAATGGTAACTAATGCACTAATGATTAGACAACACTGATAAAAGAAACCCTGAGAAGATTACCCCATTACAATAATTATAATAAATACTGGAAAGTAGGTGAACAGTGAACGAACTTGTATAAAAATTTCTTCGTATGTGGAAGAAACTTCCGAAGAAGCACCTCGTTATAAAGGTACCACAAGAATTTTGATATTTTAGTTACTCCTTCTCGTTTTTGGCACAAACAAAATTGAAATAACCGCCAAGGAACACTGTCACACAGAATAATAACATTTCGTATCAAATCGCTGATAAGGCAAAATGTATATAAACAGTAATATTACAAACTCACCTGCAGTTTTCTGTTTTTATTACGGTTATATTACGTACACACGTTATAGTCAAATACCCATGCCATCACCAACATTTGATGACACACGTCATGTTCGACTACATATATTGGTTATTTTCCATTTATCAAATAAATCCCACTAGTTATAATCACATTAGTCATAATTCCCATTAGATAAAACCTTAACGCGCCATCTAATAGCCAAAAACCCTAACTAACTACAGCGCTATCTACCAACTAATAGAAAAATCTTAACTACGAAATATCGGTATCTATAGAGACATTCCTGAAGTTTACTTTCCATGGTTGACAGATCTGGGTTTGTTCGCCTATCCTTATCTAAAGCTGCACACGCACATTTATTCATATCACTACCATTTTCACCCCTACGAAGAGATACATTCAAGCTAAATAATACATAAACGATAGTAATTAAAAATACCGTTGTTCGTTCTTAGTCCAAGGTTTCGAGTGCTTGCAGAGTCTGATCCCTGGTCGGAAGGTTTATTTAATCGCAGCTTTTATACATGTGCACCCGCAGGAATTTTTCCCCGGGGGCGATCATTGGTCAGAGATCACCTGTTGTGACGTCATAACGATGGCATTTTTAGGGCACTACTAATGTACGCTGACCAACGAAAATGACGTAGAAATGACGTCATTATGACCGTTTAATGTCATACTCAATTGACTTCATTATATGACGTCATAGTATGGTCGTATAAAAGACCAAATACAAAGTCGATATGATCTACAGTTGCTCGCAAAAATAAATAATCGCGCGGTGTATCCAAATGCTCCTGAAAAATTGAGGACTTTCAGATGTAGCCGACGCTCAGCGCTGACCGTCAGTGATGATGAATATATGTATTAGCGTAAATGAATAATTTCACATGCCTTGCGTATGATCCGTTCAGCACGTATCGTCTGGCGGGCGTCAGCTGAGCCCGAGCTGATGCTCACCATCAGCACGAGGTAGGGCCATTGTAGATTTCGTATATTTCACATGCAAGATGATGGTCGGCGAGCGGTGTTGCAGTGTTTTCCTGATTTGGTTTGTTTATTGGTGTGTTGGTATTTGCCGAAAGTGTATAAACTGAGTGATAGGAAAAGTAATAACATTTATATTGACACCGAACGATTAATAGCTGCAATACAAGAAGAAAAATGTATTTGGGATTTCTGTTACGAGGATTATAAAAACCGTGATAAGAAATATGCTGCTTCCATATCGTATCTACATCACAAGCAACAATGCACCCTACCTTAACTGAACTTACTAATATTTGCTTAAATAATGATCATAAATATTATATTATATATAACTATGAACATTTTTATTATTCTTTCTATTTCTTGTTGATAGAGTACCTAATTCAGTTTCTTGAAATAAATATTAAAATTTGTGCACTACCTACAAGTTTGTTCCTTACCTTAATGCTACACACATTCGCTCCACCGACGACATAGAAACTCGTATTTTGTGAGTAAATGTCAGGTTACTTATTAATTTGGAATGCAGTTCGTCAAATGATTTTATTGACATTCGAAAATGTTTATAAAATTTTCTTTCATCTTCTCTGAGGCTGGCGTATATTGTTACGAATGCACCTGCTTCGTTTCGCTCTAGTACAAGGGGGTGTACCCACAATCTCTTTTTCATCTGTTGTCATCTTCTACGTAAAATAATATAAACGGCAACGGCTCGCACGATGTTGTTTCGCACATACATATTGAGCAACTGATCATACGCAGCATGTGGAAACGCAATAGCATAGATGCTGACGTGCTAACGGTCAGCACTGAACCTTCAGCTCTCAGCGTCGGCTACATCTGAAACGGCTCTTACCTACCACTCTTGAACCCTCTCGTTTCGAGACGTCGTTATCACCTCCGCAATTTTTCAGAAGCATTTGTACAAAGTGAAGAACTAAAACAACCGTTTGATCTCAAATACGTTCCAGTCCTCTGATGGCTCAGAATTTGTTTGTAGCTATTTATCAAAATCGCTTTGCTTTTTCACAGAAGGTCAAAATACTTCTTGTTTGACTCTGTCGCAATACTATCGTCTCTACTAAGTAGTACATTAAAGGTGGCGAAGCCATCGGGATATAGGTTAAACCCATAGATTCATAAAACAAAATGGCCGAACGCCGAACCATTGCCAAACCGCCATCACACATAAATCAAATTCAAGCGGATAACCAAATGGAAATGGTATTTACCATTTTGGGTTGGTATTTACCGATCCGTTCAAGCGAGTGTAGTTATCAGTTTGGTTATAAGATCCGTGACGTCACGAATCAGCTGTTATATGTCATAGTTATCACCGCAAAATTGTGGTATTTACCCAACTCAAGAGTAGTTTTATATTTCTGGTTATTATTTGAAATGTGACAAGTTAGAATTTTGCCGGGTATTGGATATTGTTATTGTACTTCAGCTTCATTTTTGAGAAAATTGATACAGGCTGACTTCAGTTTTACCATAAAGTGGAGCACCTTATTAGTTATACTCATTACGGTTGTTGGGGACACTTTAAATGTAGTTCCTATGCTTAACAAAGTATCCTGTGTAGCCATATACAACAAGAATATTAAAATATGGCCATATAAACTCACTAGATGATATCCACCTGTATACGGTTTTGCTAATTTCTTTTTTCATCATTTCTGCTGAATCAATAAATGTTTTCTTTGACATGCTGAAAAATTTAGAGAATTGAAAGTTATCATAGCTACAAAGCCATGGTTCCATCATTAAAAAAAAATCTGAAAAAAACATTTCTCCCATGAATATTATGAAAGGTTTCTTATTTAAACTTTCCATATACAGTTGTAGACGAAAAAGCACCGATTATTAAGTGATAATAAAAATAATCAGAGATTATATACGCGCTTTTCTAAAATAAACAACTTGCAACAAAACCGCGGTTAAAACCAACGCGTTCAAGCGATTCGTGTAACTGACGTCATCAACCCGTGTGTCATCATATTATAACCGCGGCACATAACACAGAAATTTTGGTTATTCGCTTGGATTTGATTATAGAGCTTGGACATCAGTCGGGCTCACCATCAAGCACAATCGTGCTTCTTCGCTGATGATCGGCTGAATGATATACCATACCGTTCCAAAATTTGAATTTTTACCGCGCTTGATTACAAATCACCATAAAAATGGCGTCTATGAGGACGTATTTTTCTAGACAGTGACGTTTAAGACCGAATAATGTCGTCATTTTGGCGTCATCGTATTCACTGGAAAATATGCAAATTTTAAGGTCCAACCGGCCTACGGCTCCTCTGGCCTCTCCCTGCGATATCCCATGACCTTATACAATCTAATCTTGAATACAATTCCTCTAAAAGCCCAGCGGCATCCCACCAAATAGGGATGATCATTGTAGATACAAAACTGCCCTTTTCTAGTCCTGCTAGTTGCTGAACTTCTTGTGGGAACACACCTGTTAGAAATTTGTTGTCCCGTGACGTGCTGGAGTGACATATTTGTATTTAAAATCAAATTTATTTCTACAGAAAATGTTTTGGTAGTAATATTTAAACTATTCATTTGATTTTAAAGCTTTGGAAAGATCGAAACTTAATACATTGTTGTCCGAATAAGAACTTAACTGTATTTTTCCTTTGTAGAATGATCTTTTGAAAAAGAAGAGGAAGTTGCCGATCGTCGACCAATTAAAATCTTGTGGGATCGCACCTCGGCCAATAAGAAGTCGACAACAAGCTGTCTTGCGCGTTTTAAAAGCCACGTAAAGTAGCCGGAATCCGAGAAATTCGTGGCAGTGAAGATCGAGTAACAATTTTGAAAATTTCGCCGGTTAGAACAAAACCATGATTTTCTTTAAATTATTCACGATATTTCTATTCGCGTACACCTGCTCTGCGAAAGAAGAAGACGTTCTAGAATTAACAGATAGCGATTTTGAATCTAAATTAGCCCAACATGAAACTGCCCTCGTCATGTTTTACGCACCTTGGTAAGTGTTTATTTGATGTGTGTGCTTGTTATCCTTGAATTCCATAAATTATCCAAATCTAAACTCTCTATGAAACTTGTACTCGTTAGGTAATATGGAATTGATGAATTTGTCTGTGCTAGGTGTGGACATTGCAAGAGATTGAAGCCTGAGTATGCTAAAGCTGCTGAAGATCTTATTAGGAATGATCCCCCGGTGGCTCTAGTTAAAGTCGATTGTACAGAGGCTGGCAAAGACACATGCAACAAGCATGGAGTCAGTGGCTACCCAACTTTGAAGATCTTCAGGAATGGAGAAGTTTCCCAGGAATACAATGGTCCCAGAGAAGCTGCAGGTGAGTTATGACAACCCTCAGGTTTTCATGTCTTTAAATCAAGAAAAGAAAGCATTTTACTGCATTGTGTAGGACATACATTGTTGTAAATGAAAACAAGTAACTGATATTTGAATAATGGAAGTATTGTAGGATTTAATTTTTTTTGTTGTATTTGGCGTGGAACCTTAGTTATATATACAGTAAAATCTCATTTGGATGGATACCAACTGGACTGACTGAAAGTGTCCATTCAAGAGCAGTTTTCATATGAAAGAAATACAACAAAATACATGTTTTTAATTTAAAATAAATAAAAAACTTCAAACTTGCTGCTTGACCAGGGTAATAAGGGTAATAGTTATACCATAATTTGAAATAGCTTCTGAATCTGGATCTTCAAATATAAACTTTCATCTAGGTTCAAAAAATCATAAAGGTTTTATTATCAGTCAGTTTCAATAAATTCCGATTTTTGAGGATATCTGAAAGTATATTGAGTGGTTAGTCATCTTCTGGGTCAGGTGTATCAGCCTCATTTATACTGAAAGATTAAAGTCGGTGAATCCCCGGTTTGGCGCACGGCACGATTGAGAAATGCAGCAGCAATACTCTCAACAGAAAAAAACAAGACAAGGCATTTCTTTTTATTTTGTCTTTTGTCCAGTTAGGAGAACATTGTTTTATGTCCGCGTCCATTGAAGAGAATGTCCGCCCAAGAAAGAGCTAATACAATGCAAATTGTATGATAGTTGGTCAGGACCATGAGAAACTCCGTTTATAGGAGGTCTCCATGTAAGAGAGGGAATTTCACTGTATTATGATCGCAAAATTCAGTAGTAGATTTCTCATGTTACGATAACAAACTCTCAAATACCTTAGTTTTTATGTAGCAGTCCATAATTTTAGCAAAAATCAGATCAAATACTGATTACACTTTTTATCTTCCTAACATCTTCCTGTTAATCTAGAGTGGTATGATAAAAAAATATCACTTCACTATAGGTATTTGTTTATCAGTCACAGTGTTTATATTCTAATATTTTTTAAATACATAAGACGAAGAAAAAGTGTAACTTATTTTTTATCATTTGTCTGCATCAGTTTAATGGCAATATGGCTCTGAACAAATGTATGAAAAATGGCAGAGTCTAGGTTTTTTTATATTGTGTATATATCTGACCATTTACCTTTATGCTATACATATATACAGTAATGGACAAAAGTATATAGACAAATATGAATATTTACCTAAATACCTTTAGAAAACGAATTCATACTTCATTGCTCCATAAACAAATTTTAGTAGAAAAACTAAATTCCTTGTTTTTACATTATCTGCAATGAACACAATTCAAGTCTGAATATAAGCACTTTTTTATGAGGGACAAAAATATATAGACAAATTCTTTTCAACATTAGTTTAGTACAGTTTCGTGTCAAAAGAGGATTAGTTTGTGTTCATCAAGTATTGTGGAAAAAGTTGAGTGATTTTAAGACCATGCCGCGTGGTCCAGAAATTTCTTTCGATGTGAAAACTAAGATCATTGAGTTATACAAAGATGATCAACGTCAAGTCAACATTGCCAAAAATTTGAAGTTGAAGCATAAAGCAGTTTGGACAATATTGAACAAATATAAACAAAAAGATATCTTGAAAGCCTCTAAGAGAAAGTGGTTGGCCTATAAAACTAAATGCTAGATCAGTTAGATTAATAAAAGTAATTTCGTCCAAAGATCCGTTTAAAACCCCAAGACAAATAAAAGCCGAAATCGAGACAAAACGAATTGTCAGTGTTTCTACGAAAACTATAAGTAGAAGATTAAATGATTTGAAGTTATTTGCACGTCGCCCGAGTAAGAAGCCGCTAATCTCGAGGAAAAACCGTAAGGACCGATTACAATTTGCACGGTTGCATCTTGATTGGAGCATCTGTGACTGTAACAGGATTTGTTTCAGTGACGAATCCAAGTTCAATATGTTTGGATCAGATGGTGTTCATTACGTTAGATGTCCTAGTGGACAAAGATTGAACCGCAAGTACACTTTGCCCAGTGTATAACATGGAGGCGGGTCTGTTATGGTTTGGGGGTGCTTTTCGGGGTTGGGATGGGACCTTTACGTAGAACAGATGGCATTATGGATAAGTTGGTATACACAGACATACTAAGGCATGTCATGTTACCTTATATGGAAGATAATATGCCCTTAAGATCAATCTTCCAGCACGATAATGACCCGAAGCACACTTCAAATCTCACAAAGAAATTCTTTCTGGATGAAAAAATACCAGTTCTCAAATGGCCTTCACCGTCTCCCGATATAAATCCCATTGAAAATCTATGGGAATACTTAGATAAGCAAATACGAGATAAAATTTATTCAAAAAAGGATGAACTTTTTGCTGCTTTAGAGCAAAAGTGGAGACAGATTGATGAATCTTATATGAAGAAACTTCTACAATCTATGCCGAGACGATGCCAGGCTGTGATTGATAATAATGGTTATGCTACAAAATGCATAACATGGTTGGTTTTCTATAATTCAATGAACTTTGCTTCTTTTTTCTATAATTCTATAATTTTTTATTGGAGTCTAATGAATTTATTTATGTATAAGTGAGTATTATGCTTTAACAAATTATGTATACAGGTTGGTGTATTAATAAAACAAGTTAAAAAAGAAATACATCACAATATTATTTGTCTATATACTTTGGTCCATTACTGTACATATGTAATTTGAATAATTTACAATATTATCCTGTGGAAAGGTACTTGGTTGTTGACAATTATCTGATAACAAGTACTCCATATTGATAAAATTCATGTACCACTAAAAACACTGTTTTTCATTAACAAGTTCCTTATTTTAAAGTTTTGCATTTTTTGTTTAGCCTACTTTTAATGCTGCTTTATTAATATTCTCAAAGATCCACAAGATTTCAACTAAATTAATTGTTTCATCTATTTAGGAATTGTCAAATATATGAAGGCACAAGTTGGACCTAGCTCAGTTGAACTAAAATCGAAAGCAGATCTAGACAAGTTTTTGATTACTGAAAAGGAAAGTGTTGTCGTTGGGTTCTTTGAGAAAGAATCCGACTTGAAAGCTGCTTTCATGAAAACTGCTGATCAGTTGAGAGAGAAGGTCAGGTTTGCCCACACTTCATATAAGGAACTACTGGACAACGAAGGAAACAAGTAGGTATATTTTAGGTTTTTGAGGTTTTAGTTTGAAAATAGAATTTTGGTCGGATGTGGTTGTATGTCTTGATTTTTTTTTTCAGAGATAGTATTGTATTGTTCCGTCCTGCTCACCTTCATAACAAATTTGAAGAACATAGAGTAACATACAAGGGAAAAGCTGATGCTGGAGAGATTCAGAAGTTCATTGCCAAGCACTCGTAAGTAATTCAATTTTTGCAACATGTTAATTTTGACACTAACCAAATTACATATCTGATAAGGCAGATGGAATCCAGACCTTAATTTCAGGACTAGATTGTTTATTTGTTGGGAATAAATAAAATCATTCATTTTTCTTTCCAGTCATGGTTTAGTAGGACATCGCAAACCTGATAACAGACCAGAATTTGAAAATCCTCTAGTTGTTGCTTACTATGCGGTAGACTATGTGAAGAACCCTAAAGGAACCAATTACTGGCGTAACAGAATACTGAAGGTAATTTTATAGTAACACGTTGATATTTATCAATTTTATGTTTCGAAAATTTTGCGGGAGTTATATTTTTCTATTTTATGTCAAATCGTATTCTTTCACCTCACGATTTTCCTGTATACCTTTTTTTAGGTGGCTAAAGACTTTGCTGGCAAAGTAAACTTCGCCATTTCTGCTAAAGACGAATTCCAGCATGAGTTGAATGAATATGGGTTGGAGTTTGTTAAAGGAGAAAAACCTGTTGTTGTCTGCAGAAACGACAAGAATCAGAAGTTCGTGATGAAGGATGAATTTTCGTAAGTACTTTGTTCATTTCTCTTTCACAAAAACTGTGATTGTACCATCTTGTAGAGGTTTGACAAATTTGTTTCTATTACAGGGTTGAAGCTCTCGAAGTATTTGTCTCTGATGCTCTTGATGGCAATCTCGAGCCATACCTGAAATCAGAAGAAATCCCAGAAGATAATGATGCACCTCTGAAGACAGCAGTCGCCAAGAACTTCGATGATGTTGTTATCAACAATGACAAAGATACCTTGATTGAATTCTATGCTCCTTGGTGTGGACACTGCAAGAAGTTGGCTCCTGCTTTAGAGGAATTGGCCGAAAAGGTAGTTTTTTTATACAATTTTAACTTCAAAACAAAGAAATTAATGATGATGGATCCCTCAGGTACTAAGAATTTCGGATCTAACGTCACTCCCTTTTCGGAATGACCGGGTGGAGGGTGACTCGAGGGAACAACATCAAGAAGCTGAGTTCTGCACTGATTAGCTTCCAAATTACTAGGTGCACTTCAATCTGAGGAAGTTGTAATTTTTTTCCGCAGAAGTATTTCCTGCTCCAGAGACGTTTCTTTGGAATCAGGTCGGACCGACACTCTGTGGCTTCGCCTCAACGTCAAAACATCCCCCAAATTTATTTGCTGCCCTTATCACTCTCGCTTTTGCCATAATTGGGATGACCCACTTGAATTACTCGCTGTAAAGATCGACTTCCTGAAGATCAATCACCCGGCTTCAGAGGTAGTTCTCCTCAGTGCTTTCAATGCCACTAATGGGCTCAAACAAGACCGATGCAACAGGTCAAACGGTTTAAGCTTCTGCTATTCCCAAGGACTGACCCAGCTGGTGACGAGCACTACTTTCTTTTCCCGCGTTTCGTCACACGCCAGTAGCCTGCTGGATCTCTTTCTGACTACGCAGCCAATCCCTTACAACACTGTTGTTCAGTCTCCCCCTGGGAACTCATACCACCGGTTGTGGAGGTTAGGTTTCGGATAGAACCGTCTGTGTGTGACCTAAAGGGTTGAAAAAAAAACATGCATTTTTTTATTTTATACAAAACACGTTTTTTTTTTGTTTTAAACGATTTTTTTTGTTTTAAACATGTTTCTTTTTGTTTTTAAATATTGTTTTAAACAAATAAAACTTAGAAAAAGAACATTGTTTATATCATATTTTTTCATAATATTAATTGAACAAGTTCGACCTTTTATTCTACTAAATAATACATACCTTATTTAAAGTCCGATTCAGTACTAAACTGTCGCGATCAGCTGTTACGAAATACGTCGGGCCACGCCGCCGTTAGGCTGTGCTGGTGAATCCCCGAAATAACAAAAACAAATTGCAATGAGGAACTATTGGTCTGGGTGAACCACAAACTACTATTTATAAATTCGCCTTGCAAGTTGGCTATTTCAATAACGTCTACTGTAAGTTATTTTGTGGTGTTCTTTTTTTGAAAAATGCCGTCTACAGGAAGGAAGAAAGATGCCATTTGATCCTATTTTGATGTTGTTAAAGATAATAACAAAAAATCAGTAACTGCTAAATGTAAAAAGTGTGAAGCAATTATGGCTGGACTAGTGTTGCCTGCATATGAAGAAACATATTCAAAAATGTGTTCCATCTGAAAATTCTCAGCTACCAATGTAAATTATCTATGATTCCGAGTCAGATGAGGATTTAACGCTAGATGAGACATCCGAAACTCAAAAATATTCAAAGAATGTTTACCCAGATAATAATACAGGTAACTTTGAATTTTAATTTTTTACCAGTTTAAAGACAAATGCCCAAGTCTATTTAAAAAAATTAAAGTATGTCGCATTTGCTTTGGAAAAAGTCCAAAGAAACACTTGCACTACAGGAGAGGCTACAGAGATATGGCCAGAATTTTTAGAAGCATTCGAGACTGAACACGCAAATGGAGAATTTTCGGTAATTGATACGAAATGGCTTTGACCCCAGCTCATTTTTTGGCAAAGTTGCTTGATCATTGCTTTAGAGGCAACAAACTTAGTCAAGGGCAAATAGAAATTGGCATGGAATATGTAGAAACCTATCATCCAGAAGCATTGCCAATTATTATTAGTTACCAGGCATAAACCATATATGTTTTCTAAACATCTAATTGAGAATGTAAAATCATTCGTATGGTGGCGTTGTATGAAAAATCTAAATACCACAGCCTTGGAACTTGCTCAACAGCTTCATGCATCTATTGCATCGTCAGCCGACATAGAAAGACTCTTCTCATCATACGGTTTAGTCCATTCAAAACTACGTAACCGGCTAAGCAATGTCAAAGCTGCTAAGTTGGTATCAATTTTTAAAGAGCTTAATTCCATCAGTGATGACGTGACTGATCAGATATCCGATTGATGACTATGAGCCTGGAAAAGTGTGGGGAATTTGTTAACACTTATATGCAAAATGTTTTTATTATGTTCCTATTATTAATAAATAAATAATATTTATGTTAGAAAGTTTGTATAATGAATTTGAGAACATTTCTCATTTTTATTTATTATATTAATAAAGAAAATGAAGAAAAAAACGCTTGTTTAATTTAAGTGCTTTAAACATGTTTTAGACTGTTTTAAACCTAAGCGAATGTTTAAAACATGTTTAGAAGAATTGATTAAAACAAAATGTTTAAAACGAAACAACCCTGGTGACCTATAAAATATTTGTATGGTATCTAATGATTGTCTTATTTTCAGATGAAAGATGAAGACGTCGCAGTTGTAAAGATGGACGCTACCGCGAATGATGTGCCCTCTCCATTTGAGGTTCGTGGCTTCCCAACACTCTTCTGGATTCCAAGAGATGCCAAACAGGTCCCAGTACGTTATGAGGTATGTGCCATTATCAAATTTTTCTTTACAGTATTTATTGATTTACTAATTTTACGGGTGACCCTATTTTTACAAAATAAGATCGCCTAGAATATACGTGAATATCATTTAAAACATACAAACTCACAAGAAAATTGTTATATGGACTCCCCATTCCAAAGACACTTTTCAAAGCCTGAGAGTGTACAGGCAAAGATGTCAATATCAGAGAAAACCAAATGGATAAGACAGAGTGATTGTAGAGTGCTGACCATAATTTGTCGGATGGAACTTGATTACAAACACATCACTATTATGCAGAGTCCTACAGGGTACATTGAAATTTATCAGTGCTAACAAAGTTTCGGAATTGGTGAGCACCAATAAAATCAAGAGGAGGTATCGCATATATTAATGTTTAAAAACAAGTGATTAACCTGTGTTCACTGCCACAGCACATTAAGGTCCTGCAGAACGCCCGCCTTTTCATATCTCTCCGTAATTATCCTGCAAATTTTCGGGTCATCAGCAACAAAGACTTAGAACAAAAGGGATGTCATTCACAAACAAAATAGGACCGCGGAGGAACGCCTGATGTAATCTTAAAGTTCGAAGACAGGTGTCTACTGATTTTTACAGATTAAGGGAGCTCTCTAACCATCTTACAGTGTTTTCTGAAAAACCATATTCTGTTAGCTTTGCTTTTATGTCGAAGGCCTTGGAAAAGTCCGTGTAGATTACATCCACCTGGCGACCCCTTCCCAACGCCTTCAGCAGATCAACATAGAAAGCTTGGTCTTATCAGGCAAAAAAAACATCTGAGAATTGTTTCACCATTGTCCAATCAACGCGGGTGTTCCTCAAAGACCTGTTTTGGTTCAAACTGATTTGTGGCATTATCATTATTTTTTTTTCAGGGAGGCCGTGAGGTAGATGATTTCATCAAGTACATCGCACGAATGGCCACCAATGAACTGAAGGACTATGATAGGGAGGGTAACCCGAAAACAGACAAGACTGAACTTTAATTGTAAAGATATTTTTGGTCAACATTTTTTTAATAGTTTCATATTTCATTTTCTTTCTTGAGAGTTTCCGTTTATTTTCGTTGTTTGTAGTTCATGTTTCTGAGAGTGAGATTAAGTTTGTCTATTATAATAGTATTTTCAACTCTGTATGGATATTTTCGTTGCTGAAATTGCAATAATTCAGTGTTAAGAGTTGTGAAATGGCGGAGGCAAGGTGACGTTAGTTACATGTATGTGCTTTTACCTTAGTTCAATGTAATAGGATTTTTAGATTTTTTTTTATAATTCCATTAAATTTTGTTAAAAACACATTTTCCTTTTTTCATCCTAAAAACACAGTTTCCAAGAAATTCTGCAAGACGTTGAATCAACACCATACGCTTGGAAAAAAGTGTAGTTGAATTCTGTAAGGCTTGTGATATCAAGGTTCTGAAGTAGCTGAACTAAAAAGTTGAAAAAACATAGAAGCATAACCCATTAACGCCCGCTGAAGACAACAAATCAGGCCCCCGAAAATAAATTTGAGACTGTTGCTTTTTAGATTTCTGTTGTCGATTTCAAATGGTATTTCGATTTTTCTTTTTTTCCTAATTTTGAATTAGTTCAGCTACTCTCTAAAAGATGGCACTTAGACTCCTCGCTACCAAATGCTTCATAAAATTTAACTAGGTTAAGATGAGATTTAAGGGGTGGATGGTCTAGGTTTGAGCGTCTCAATTTGTAAGGCATTCCTCGAGAAATTTGATTTTCCATGAGGGGACTAAAATACCCCGATTTTTGTTAAGAGTGTAAAATTCCATTGATTTGAATCATCAATAAGCTATAATGATATGCAATGTTTATGCTTTGTTAAAGAACAAGGTGCCCTCCCCCACAAATACATCAAGGTTTACTGGACTTTGAATGACCACCTAGGACAGCGAATTTTAATTCCTGAAGCATGTAGAACAACCACATTTTTTTTTTTAAGTTTTATGGTACAGTTTCATTTATCTAGTCGAAAATAATACAGAATTACTTTAAACTCATTTAAGAAAGATATACGGATGAATATATTTTTTTTATTCGGCTACTCTCCAATAGATGGCGCTGCATATCGGTAGCTACCACAAGGTCCACCGTTTTGAATGACTACCTGGAGCTGCTGAAATCCGTTCAGTAATTCCCAGTGTTTGCGAGGAGGAGGACGCCTTGCTTTTCAACAAAGCCAGATCAATACGTATAAACTAACAAAACAATGTTTTCATCAAAAAAATGGGGGATTTTAACCCCCCTCACGGAAATTCAAGTTTCTTGATGTTTGAAGATGCGTTGTCATAGAGAACCACCCAAACCCCGACCGACCGCCCCTGAAGAATCATTTTAGACTAGTTAAATTTTGTGTGGTCTGTGATAACACTTTACAAAGTGGCGCCATCTATGGGATGGTAGCTCAACTGAACGAATTTTTTTTTTGTGGCGGCTACTCTCCAATAGATGGCGCTGCATATCGGTAGCTACCACAAGGTCCACCGTTTTGAATGACTACCTTGAGCGGCTGAAATCCGTTCAGTAATCCCCAATGCAAGCAAGGAGGAGGACGCTTTGATTTTCAACTAAAGCCAAATCTAATACGTAATATTAGAATATAATAAACAAATCTTAAACATAATCGTTTCATCAAAAAATGGGGGGATTTTAACCCCCCTCACGGAAATTTAAGTTTCTTGATCTTGGAGGATGCGTTGCCATAAACCCATCCCGAACCCCGACCAACCGCCCCTTAAGGATCTTTTTGACTAGTTAAATTTTGTGAGGTCTGCGATAACACTTTACAAAGAGGCGCCATCTATGGGATGGTAGCTCAACTGAACGAATTTTTTGTGGCGGCTACTCTCCAATAGATGGCGCTGCATATCGGTAGCTACCACAAGGTCCACCGTTTTGAATGACTACCTGGAGCTGCTGAAATCCGTTCAGTAATTCCCAGTGTATGCGAGGAGGAGGACGCTTTGCTTTTCAACAAAGCCAGATCAATACGTATAAACTAACAAAACAATGTTTTCATCAAAAAATGGGGGATTTTAACCCCCCTCACGGAAATTCAAGTTTCTTGATGTTTGAAGATGCGTTGTCATAGAGAACCACCCAAACCCCGACCGACCGCCCCTAAAGAATCTTTTAGACTAGTTAAATTTTGTGTGGTCTGTGATAACAATTTACAACGAAACGCCATCTATGGGATAGTAGCCCAACTGAACGAATCTAGAAGCTCAGAAGAATATTTCTCTAAGTTTACGGAAATATTACGTATACTGTGGTTAGGTAATGGTAAGTGAAACGTAGGCACTTCTATTAAGAATTTATTGACTTTTCAAGTTGTAGCATTAAAATATAAACCTTCAATTTTCCTAACATTGTTCAAACAATATAAGTTGTGCTTTGTTTTATACAAGAAAAGTATAAAGAACCTACAAAAATATCAACTGCATTGCAATTTTATAAAGGGTTAAAAAAATGTATCTAATTAAGTAAAAAGTAAACAAATCGCAGTTGTACTTTAGACAATGTCAAGATTTAGCTATCTTGCACCACATTGCAAATGCAAGGCATTTACACACGATGTAACAAAAAAGTCCCGAGAAGCTCGTACTTCTGATACAAACTGAATAAGTCATTACAAATGTAGTCAACTGCACAATACTGGCGTTCCTGGAGAATTTAAGAGCTGATGCAATCTAATTATACTTTCCCATGATCATGTAGAACCCTTTTCTGTTACACCTTGTATTTTTTGGAGATAACCAATGGCGTTTTGAGATTGCCTTTGCAAATGTGGCATTTCTCTTAAAAATAACATAATTGAGTATACTGACTATGTCACGATAATAAGGGTAATATAGCGATATGCCAAAATCTTAAGCTATACATTCTGGACGCCACAACACAGTTTTAATTTTATTCACTAACATTCGAGTTGCCTTGTGTCCATTACAATCACTCGATCACTGATTCCCTTACAAACAAAAACAAAATACTCCAATTATTTTACAAAGTATACAAAAATATATAAAGTTGTTGCACAGTTTTCCAGTTCTCTGGCAGCAATCAAAGCCAGTTATCAAGAAAATCGACCCAAAAACGCAACCCTCGACAGAGAACATTCTTAGGCTGATCATATGACTTAATATGTCAGTTTCAAACCGAAGTTCCTTATCTAACAAATCAGGATTAATAGAGCGATTGAAAACAATTTTAAGAAAAAACTGTTCTTGTTTACTGCTTAAGGCCGCCTGCCACGAACACAAAATTTTATTCATATTACGGTATCAATTTTTTGAATTTAGTTCCCAACAGTGTTGCCGAACCCATCGATTTTTGGCATTTCTACCGAAATGACACGTTCACCAAAATGCCGAAAACATTCTCATTTTCCACGTTTTTTTAATTATCTAGATATTTCCAGATTCTTTACCGTAAAGGAGTTAGAACCTAAAATAAAGCTAAAAACTGACAAAAAAAGCGGTTTGCGATATACCAAGTGGCGAACTGCCAGTTCATCCACTTTTATTAAGTGTTTATTTACCAAAAATTATGAGATTACCTTATGCAGACTTCTTATGACTATTTTGGCTTAGACATTTTTTGTTTTGTGGTTTTTACTTAGTTGTATGTTTAGTTGATTTCGGACTTTTGGTTTGAATAATGGAATAATTGAATGCTGGCCCAACAAAAACTAACAATCAGTAACAAATGCGGTTGCATCGAAAAAATATTTTGTTTTTTACAGTCTCTGACAAAAAACACCTAATAAAGGTTGATTCTCACTATACATTTCGTTTCCATTCCATATCAGTTTCGTAAACCTTCCGTACAATGTGATTGTATACACAGTATACCTTAGATGCGATTCCACCAGTGTGCTGAACTGTGCGGCACTCTAATGCATAGTGTACAGCACAAATGTTTCTTCTGGTCGACTCACTCACGCAAACAATAGCAAACGGTGCGCAAACATTTCGGAAACGTTCGCGAACATCAGTTACTTTTGTGCGCGCGCACATGCAAGCAGTGGACTCGCGTCGGCGGATACATACTTGTTGTTCGCGAACTCAGTATTGCTTCCGCTCCTGGACTGAAAACATTTGTTTGTACGCGCACTTCTTTTACGAATTTTAAAATGGACTGGACGAATGATAGGATTATAAAATTTATTCAAGCAATTGAAACAGAAACAAAAAACACGACGCCACTCAAGAGTTGGCTCAAAGTTTCAATTATGACTTGACTGAGACAATGGAAGATTATTTTGGCTCGGTACCGAAGAGAAAAGAAGAAAATAGCGAATTCAAAATCTTCAGGTTCTGGGTTTTCAGATTTATTATTTGTTATTTTATATTGTTATCACAACTACAGTTTTTAACGCCAAGATCCGTTGCAAGATGTAATGTTACTTTCTTTTGCAGTCGTGCTAACATAAATTTGATTTTGAAATCACCTGAAAGGGTTATGTGTTTGAATTATAATAGTATTTGTAAGTTTTGTGACATATTTTTATGTTCTATTTCGGAGCTAAAATGTGTTCTGCGAGAGCGCCTTAGATATTTTTATAAGTTAGGCTTTTGTAATATTTCTAATTTAAGATTTTGGCCTATAAATGGAATATTATCTGTTGGGCAATAAAAGCTATAAATAAGCCTTATTGAAACAGGGACACATTTTCTGTAGTTGGTGTCTTGCTTTGCAATATGAGGACTAAGTGCATTGACCAGCAACTCAAAATCTTCACACGATATACGAGTAAAATTTTTAAATCCACTTAAGGGATCTATTTTTATTTCTTCTACAAATCTATTCGTTTCTTCATTCCATCGCTGCAGAAAAGGCCTCACCCAACATCGTGGTTTTCTTCTTCGTTTCTTTTTAAGCAGACTACCTATTAAAACACAAGCTGCAGCACAAAACACTACGTATTCCCGCCCATCCATATTAAGAACTGAAGTTAGTGAGAACTTTGCTTCGTAAACATGTTCGTGCACAAGTGCGCTACACTGTACGCTTACAAAAGTTATGCACTGCTTTGCCGGTGGACACAGAAGATAAATTCGATACCAATGAGCACATTCAATGCTGGAGTTTCACACAAAATGTTTGTAAACAAATGTGCTGAACACTATTTTGGTGGAATCGTACCATTACGGATAATGTGCATACACACGCAATAGCCTGCTTTAGGCGAAGGCGAATATTTAATTTCAATAATTTACGGAACGGTTACGGAATGGAAACGCAATGTATAGTGAGAATCAACCTTAATGCAGCATCTTTAGAACGTTATTCACAAGAAGCTATAGATGACGCTTTTGCTATTTCACACAAGGTGTCTGCTGAATAACCTAGAACCTCGATTTTGGCAACAAAAAACAATTTTCACGAAAAAGGAATATTATCAATGACTTCACTTTGATTTCTGCTGGAACCATTCGAAAAATCGCCCAACAACCTGATGGTTGAACATGCCCAACACAAACTTTGAATCGATTTATTCGAAGTTTGTGTTGAACATGTTTAAATCTTCAAAGGACGTGGCTCCGCTTTGATCGAGCATCTGCAGCATGTCGGTCAGCTCATGAGGCTGCGGCTGTGCGGGAGGTCCTGAACCACTTGATCCAGGACCGGCTTCAGAAGTCTGCGTCGAACTTTGCCAGCTGGTCCATTGGTAGGTAGCTGCCGCTGCTGGATTGGGCCCAGCTCTAGAACCCCCGCTCAGCTGGGTATACGTGGGACCCGGCGATCTGCAACAATAAATTGCTGTTTGAAAATTGAAAGAACCATCGATCGTATTCATCAAAACATTAATAATAATAATAATAATAATAATAATTTATTCATGTTTGTAGACAAAAACGCTTACATTCAGGGTGTTCCTTAATGATATGCGAATATTTATGGGTGTGAAACTACATGGAAAATTAATGTTAGTTTGCTTTATAAACTATGGTCCAAAAATGTTTCCTTACAAAAACTCGGGGTGTTGAAGTTTTAGGAAAAAATTGAAATTAATTGATATTTTCAGAACCGCTTCAGATATTTCACTGATATTTAGTATGTAGTGAAAGTTAATAAAGTTGCATATTTTTCAATGCAATAATAATTTTTAGCTTTAACAGTGGCGTGTGTACGGGTATTGACTTCGATATTTTTCAAGAAAAAAATGGTACGCCAATGGTTTTTTGCCAAATAAAAATTAATTTGAATTCCCTGTTTAATTTAAAACAAATGATCTCTCTTGAATTGTTTAACTTCGATGTGCCATTTTTGAGTAAAAAAATAAAAACCGTTCTATTGTCTAACTTGCAAAATTATTATTAATTTAATTGGAAAAATTCGCATTAGGGGTAATGAACAACAACAATTGACAACATAAACATAACATTAAAACCAACGAAATGATTACAAAAATTGTTGAAAATGGCCCCTTCACTTAGTATGCATGCTTCCGCCCTCCTTCTCATGGAATTGCGCACTCGTTGAAATATCCCTGGAGTGTTTTTTATTCTATCACAAGCTGCAACTATTCTTTCTCCTAATTCCTCTACAGTGTTAATGGGACTTGTGTACACTAGTGTCTTAAGATAGCCCCACAAAAATAAATCTAAACTGTTGAGGTCTGGGGACCTTGGTGGCCATTCTTGAGGCCCACCGCGGCCAATTCAACGATTTGGATAAACAGTTTGTAAATAATTACGAACCGCTACACTGAAATGCGTTGGTTCACTATCATGCATGTACCACATATTGTTTCTTATTACAAACGGAACATCATCAAGCAGCAAAGGCAACTGTTGTTGAAGAAAATTGAGGTAAGTCTGTCCGTCAAGTCGTCCCGGCAAGAAGAATGGGACAATAAAGTGGTTGCCAATAATTCCTGCCAATACGTTGACCGAAAATTGGTGTTGGAAATGGGTTTCGGTTACGGCATAGGGATTTTCTTCTGCCCGCAAATGATTATTGTAGAAATTTTGAATGACATTTCGAGAAAAATTAGCTTCGTTCGTGAACAGAATCATTGATTCAAATTGCGGATTTTGTGTGATTTTTTGAAGATACCACTGACAAAACGTCACACGCCTTGGAAAATCAATGGGACGTAATGCCTGTTCTCTTAAAATATGGTAAGCATAAAAATCCACTAAAATTCTCCAAACAATTTGATGGCAAATATTTAAGTGTCTAGCGATCTTCCTCGTACTCGTTTGAGGATGTTCTCTTCGACTTCGTGCAGCACTGCTTCCTCAATTTTAGGTGTTCTCACACTTAGAGGTCTATCTTCAGATATCCCTTTTCGGACAGAACCAATTTCAACAAGACGAAGATGAATATTAGAAAAGGTTCGACTATCTGGCAAAGCACGATCTGGATATCTCTGGTGATAAATCCGTCTGGCTTGCTCACCATTACGAGTACCGTTGGCAAGGTCATATACGCCATGTTTGCATTTGAATAATTCACCATTATTAACGAGATTGTAAAAACCAAATAATCAAAAAGAGGTCACAGCGAACAAATTTGAATAACAGATACTTGTCAGATGTCAAAAGCCAGTGACATATTCCAGAGCAACTAGATATTTATTGCTAAATTGCATTCTTCAATTATTATTACATTAATTTTCTTGGACAATAGTACGGTTTTTACTTTTTTACTCAAAAATGGCGCATCGAAGGAAAGCAATTCAAGAGACATCATTTGTTTTAAATTGAACTGGGAATTCAGAAATAATTTTTATTTGGCAAAAGCCATTGGCGTACCATTTTGTTCTTAAAAAATATCGAAGTCAATACCCGTACGCACGCTACTGTTAAAGCTGAAAATTATTTTTGCATTGTAAAATATGCAACTTTATTAACTTTCACTAAGTACTAAACATCAGTGAAATATCTGAAGCGGTTCTGAAAATATTAATTAATTTCCATCTTTTTCCTAAAACTTCAACCCCCCGAGTTTTTATAAGGAAACATTTTTGGACCATAGTTTATAAAGCAAACTAGCATTAATATTTCATGTAGATTCACAACCTTAAATATTCGCACATCATTAAGAAACACCCTGTATATCAAGAAACGTCTCAGTATTTGAACATTAAAAAGCAATACAAAAGAATAACACATTCAGATAAAAAAAACATCAGCAAAATGGAAAACAAACACAAAGTAATGAAACAAATAGTCAACAATTGCGTTGAAATGGAAGTTTGCTATTATTTTCAAGCATCATCTCTGAGCAACAAACACCTATACATGAGATGATTGTCCCTAAATCAGTATACAGTATTGTACCTTAGACTGAAAGTAATATAGGCTGTCATCAAAGTCGATTTTGCTACATAGGTATTTAAACTACGGATTATATAAGTTATTTTAGATAACTTGGAAAAGGCGAGATTGTTGACAATTGGAAAATACGGTAGCGTTCAAGAAGCTCATTAAAAGGGAAGTAATTGTTCATTTTTCGAAAAATAAATATTACCTGGGACTAGGTTGACTATATTGGTAACCCTCTGGAGGTGGTTGAGGTTGCCGTAAAGTCCAAGCTGCAGCTGCTGGTGTTGGGCTCGTGGTACTTCCTTTACTTAACCTCGATAATACGCCAGCATTATTACTGGCACCGCTGGCTTGGGAAGGTGAACCATACGTGATTGGCGAAGCCTGCAAAATATAAAAATAATGATTACAAAACGAATGAAAAACCGGTAGTCCGTAAAATATTTACAGATGTTCTGAAAGTTGAAACTTTCTCTTCAGAAAAAGCTGGGTATGTTTGAAATAACAAGTTAGAACATATATTCACTCTACGAGTAAAACGTGTACCGCACCATTGACGACATTATTATCGTAAGAGAAATTTACTATTGTGTAGTCTTAGAAGTCTACTGTCAAAATTTCAGCTGAATCGGGCTCTTAGTTTTGTTTTGACCGCTTGTGGAAGCAGGCGTGTTCGCAGATTTTTGAAAAATGAAAAAAGAGCAATATCGGTCGGTGATTCGAGTCTTGTTTTGGAAGGGAGATCGCGCAGCAAAATTAAGGAGCGCTGGGTGCTGTGCTGTTTACGGTGACTCTTCCTTCGATGGCGACCGTCAAAAATTGATTTAAAGAATTTTAACGTGGTCGCACGTAGGTTTTTAATGAGCCATGCCCAGGTGCCCCGAAAATGGCTACCACGGAGGATAACGTTACAAAAATCTACAATCTAGTATTGGCAGACAGCCGATTGAAGGTGCGTGAGATATTTGAGACAGTAGGCATCTCAAAAGACCGCGTGGGTCGTATGCTACATCAAATATTGGGCACGAGAAAGGTGTCTGCGCGATGGGTGCCGCGTTTGCTCACTCCGGACAACAAGCACACCCGTGAGACCGCTTCTGAGCAGTGCTTAAGCGCAATCCGAAACAGTTTCTGCATCGTTTGGTGACCGTCGACGCCACATGGATCCACTGGGACACATCAAAGACCAAGGCACAGTCGAAACAATAGACTTCACCCGGCGAACGTGCTCCGAGGAAGGCGAAGACTGTCCTATAGGCAGGAAAGGTGATGACCACCGTTCTCCGGGATCCAAAAGGTGTGCTCTACATCGAGTAACTCGAGAAGGCCAAAATGGTCACAGGGCTCTACTATCGAATCGGCCCAATAATTCGGTTATTTGGCCGATTCGATGCCGAATTGCAGAAAAAAGACCCATTTTAGCGAAGAAAAAAGTGCTCTTTTACCATGACAACGCACCGGCTCACACCTCCGCCGTCGCCACGACCAAATTGGTCGCCTTAGGCTACGAACTGCTGACCCATCCACCGTATTCTCCAGATTTGACCCCGTGTGACTTGTGTTTGTTTCCAAACTTGAAAATCTCACTCGTCGGGCAGAAATTTGAGTCGAATGAGGAGGTTATCTACGCCACGGAGGCCAACTTTGCATACCTCCAGATCAGTGCTTGACGCTGTTTAAGCGCAATCCGAAGGAGTTTCGTGGCCGTCGACGCAACATGGATCCACTGGTCACACCAAAGCCAAGGCACAGTCAAAACAGTGGACTTCACCCGGCGAACGTGCTCCGAGGAAGGCGAAGACTGTCCTATAGGCCGGAAAGGTGATGACCACCGTTTTCCGGTATCCACAACGTGTGATTTACATCGAGTAACTGGAGAAGGCCAAAATGGTCACAGGGCTCTAATATGCCGAATTATTGGGCCGATTCGATGCCAAATTGCAGAAAAAAGACCCATTTTAGCGAAGAAAAAAGTGCTGTTTTCGAAAATTTTCGTTTTTCTTTTGCAGGCTAAGCAATTATCGGACCGCTCTCGTAGATGCAGAAATTAAAATCGACAAATATGATATAATCTGGGACATAACATAAATGTTTTTTTGCCCCACAGTGTTCATTTTTTACCTGTCAATCCTTACTGGTTGAGTAATTGATTTACTATAAGGTTCCTCTTACACTCATTAATCTATTTTTTTCGCAACCACGGGCTTTCCCTTTTGATATGTTTGATGATAAACATGAAATTTTGATTAACTCTATATAAACTCTAATTAATAATTGATCTAGATCCAGATCATAGGTTTTGATCTCTGGATCAACAGAAAAAAATGTTTCTGTACCTAAACCAGGTGAAGTATTTCTTGATTTAATATGGGGATTACACAAGTCGTATATTTTTTCTCTGATCTGATAGATATTTTAAAAAAAATCTAGTATATTCATTTGATCCATTACTGGAAAGACGCCTTCTCATTATTCTATTATGATCTGGTTTAAAATTTTGGATCCCGCGCGTCAATAGTAAAAGAGACATTCGTACAGTACTGGCGAAGAATATGTACAACTATACCCCATTCGTAGTACATTTACGCCCAAACAAAACACAACATGCCCAAAAGCGAGATTGTACAGGTCCGTATTTTCTTTAATGGTCTTGGGATAATCTAACAAAATAAATTATTATTTTTATAGAAACAAGTGCACATACTTTTCACAATTCTACATTCGCTGGAAGTACTTGAATCATCGTCCGAATGGTTAATATTAATTATTACAGGTTCAATTTGAATATCGATCATATTGACCAGATCCCACATCTTTGTTTCGACTGTCTCTTGAACGTGACGGATGCAACCTTTCCAATAGTTTGCCGCCACTCTGTTGACAGATTCATAAAACAAATTTTTCACATCAGAAAATTCGAATGTTCTATTGTTTGAAGCCATACAGTTTTTTTATATTTTCCCAAATCATTTCAATGGGATTTAACTCGAAGTGATAAGGCAAAACGGTCTTATTTTGGTTTTTAGTCATTTCGTCAATAACATTAAGATTGTATTGATATTTGTGCTGCCCAACTTAATGGATAAGTTCTGCTTTGACCATACTTTCATTGAAACTAATGTCTTTTGATAGGAGTCATTGTTGAATTTCTGCCTTTCTCATGGACATTGTGGGAATGTTTTCTAGTTTTCTAGTGTGATATGCAGCATTATCAAGTATAATGACGGCATTATCGTCTAGCTTTGGGAGCGTTTCTTCAAACCATCGTTCAAATGAACACTCGTCCATTTCTTCATGGTAGTAGGTCGTTTTCTTTGACTCAAATTCCCATAGGGCAGTGGGCACATAGCCATCTTCACAGCCAATGTGACAGATAACAACTCGTTTTCGTTTTCCTGGAAATAATTACATATTTCATATAGTATCTAGAAAACTAATAATAATTCGAGCAGAGTATCTAACATGTGTTGGTTCCAAATCTACCAGATATAGCTAAGTCTAGTTGAGCTAAGTGTTTAGCGTGACCTTCATAGATTCAGTCTGCTTGACACCATTTTTACAACACAAATGACGAGTGGTTAGATACACGTACCTGACGGATTCTTTAGGCCAGTGGTTAGTCCATCTAACAAGGCTTGAATTGCTGATTTAATTGTAGAAGCAGCCCAAGTAATAAAATTTCCTGCCTGGTCGTGGTAGTTCTTTATTCATTTTAAATAATTTCTTCTCCATAAAATAATCTTTTGGCTGAACATCAAAATACTACTTCTGCCCGGTTTTCTATACTCAAAATGAAGTTCTTTGAGTAAGCTATAGAATGTTGTCCTTTTGAAAGTAGGTAAGTCTTCATCACTATTAACCTCCTGTAATACTTTGTCTATGGTGGGAAGTTCCTGCCTTACAAAAAGTTGATGGACTTTGCGCCTGATGGCATTCCGATCAAAGTTATCAACTGTATCCAACAGCTTCGTGTAATCGAGCCTCTTGTGTGGTGGAGACAATGTTCATATTCTTTAACAATGTTGAACATTGTCTGAAGACATAAGCCTGTTTTGTTCGCCGCACGTCTTTCAATATCATTAATGTTCATTTCAGGATGCTCTAAAATTTTGCTCCTATAAACGTTTAGGACAATTTCTTTTGCCTGAATATTCAAGTGTCCCTTCTTGTCACGTTTTCGGGGAGGAGACATCACTGAAGAGGAAGCATGGCTGAAGGAAGCATTGGAAGAAATAATCCTCAGTTTCACCTGCTCTATCCGTAGACTACATGCTAACGTATAAACACACGCTATGTATACACCGAATATGAACAGGAACTGCCGGCGTCGGCGTGCCGGCGATACCCAGAGACTGAGTTCTATCCTGTCGAATCCTGCACTTGTTCGTAGTTTTATGGGCGAAGGACCAATAGCTACTGCAACGCTTAGGTGGCTGTCGCTTTGCCGCGCTGCATCTTCGTTGTGCCGGGGCGTAAATGGACAACGAATAGGGTATAGTACAAAGTTCAGTACGCTTTGAAGAGCGAGATACAATAAGCCTTAAAGGCTGCATGACCATCCGGTAGATCGAGGACTTACCGTCGGTTCGTAGCTGGTGTAGACATTCTGTCCGCTGTTGGGTCTCGTGGTCTGTTGCTGAGGATCAGCTAACAGCCTGGTAAACCGGGAATCGTCAGGACGATCATTGCAGGATGAAGGAGTCGGCATGGACAGGTACTCGCTCTGGATATGTGTAGAGGAAAGCATGTGGGAGTAGATTCCGGCTCCGGCGTCCCTCCTTTGCGGCAAACTGTAGTCCAGGCCCGGTTGCTGGTAGGTAACTTGCTCTGCGGTCTCAGCGACTGGTTCTGTGGTCGCCTGGAGCGACTTGGCCGGCGTGTTTGTGCAGACGATGTACTCCACGTCGTCGGTGTATGGGTTCAGGAAGGAAAACGCGCTTGTGCGAAGCCACACCCACTCGCGATTCTTCGCACGAAATCTGTACATTACTGATAGCACTTGGCCTTTCAGCTTCAACACTGCAACAGAGAGAATTATAATAATTATTAGGATGAAGTTTAGTCATAGGCTATTCTCCCACTAAACCCTTCTAAAACACAGTATTTTTTACAATTTACATATACAATGCATATGGTGGTAACAATTACAATAAAAGGCAAGTAATTGCAAGCATAAAGTTCAGTTATTTTAAAAGAATGAATGACTGTTTGGCAGAACTCGGCCATCCATCGAAACCGGATGAGCGCTAGGACGCTTTTTATTCGTCAAGGTACAGTACTGTTTTGGAATTTGGAATCATTAAACTGTACAAGATTGTTGCATCCCCAAGCAGTGATAACCTCCAGGTCTCTCGTCAGAGAGGAAGTCGTCGCTAGTCTTTTTTTTTCCAGGTCAGCGGCAGAGATCGGCTTGTCACTCTGAATTCCTGCATGTAGAGTGCTGTCATGAGCGAAGCTGTGGATTGGGTTGATCATCCAGACAGCAGCGGTGGCCGCAGTGGTACACTCTTAGGTCTCCTGATGAGTCGCCGTGCGCTGCGCGGGTTCGAATCCCGTCTCAAGAGAAATTTTTCTCTTGGCTATGGATGTTGTGATTGTCCGTAGGTGGTAGACGGTCTCTGACTGTCGAACGCGGAGGTACCCCCCGGCGGATCTCGTAGGCGGGGCCAGAATGTATGCATGTTGTATGCACTCGTGTTTCCTCGCCAGCGTCCGTGTGGCGTCCCTCCTTTCCCCTGTTTCCCCCTGTAGCCCCACGGTACCCCATGGGTGTTTAGGCCTTAGGCCTTCGTAGTAGTTGGAGTCTAATAAATGCAAACTGGATAAAATATGAAATGTTCGTAATAAAAGACACTACCGCTATAAAATACATAAATAAATGAGAGATTAACAGGATGAAAATATGGATATAAACAATGAGAATCTGCCACAAAAGAGTGTTAATTTATGCCACCATTTCCATGGTTCAATACATACATCTTAGCTTCTGGTTTAAATTTATTAATTGACAATAACTTCCAGCTATCTGGCAGAGAGTTACACAACTTAACGGCATTGTATGTAGAAATATTCCGAAGGAAAGCAGTCCTGTGGTGCGGCATTGTTAAGGTATATCTTAGATTTCTGGAATGTACGAGGGTTGTCTCAAAAATAAGGTTCCCAACGCTGTATCATTGCCGCGGGTGATGCTAGGCGACATCTGGCAACACCGTCGTGTTTGTCGGTTCCCCCACCACCGATCCCAAGAAGTGCCTATTGGCGATGCTCAGTACCGGCCTGGCAGCCACTGCGCAATGGAGCATCGCCATCACCGCCAGGTGGGAAATTCGTGCGAAAAAAAAATGGGGAACCATATTTTTGAGACAACCCTCGTATAAATGTCTCATATTCAGCCATCCTAGTTCTGAGGAATCAGCACTGACATGGTCATATTTTTTGAGATTCTCAGTCAATCTACAGCAGGTGTTTTTTTCAGTTTTCTTACAGTTTCACAGTCCAACAAAGGTAAATATGCTAAAAGGCAGTATGCGAGCTTAAATATCATCAAAGACTAGCACAATATTCTCTTGACTTCAAAATCAAGTAGCTGCTAATTTGTATACAGCAATCTGGGAATTGCATTGCAACTTTTGCTTAAGTTATTTACATGGTGAATAGGTTCCAAATGTCGTAAATTTGATTGTGCATAAAAATGATGTTAAACAAGTAACTTTTTGAAATTACTCGAAAATCTGTCTAAATCGGAACACTCCAGACGGCAATTTTAACGTCTAAGCAGCCTCACGACGTTTCAGATTTTTTTGATGATTATATTCGATTTCAGATCAAATGGAAGTATCATTACATTTCGCTTTACCTCTGAATTTCTCGTAATATGTTGATTATACGACAAATTTTCATATACGCAAAATGATTTAATTCCCTACAAAATTGTTCCTATTACTTTTTTATATAGGATCCATGGCTTTCGAGATTTGGTATTGGTAAGAAATCACTTGACTGTAATGTGATATATCCAGAAATGTGATAAATTCAAAACTTTATTAACCAGATTGGCTAGCATATCCCAGAAGTTGGTTCTTGATGACTTTTTTGAATGCAACTAGACCTCATCAAGATCATTATACACTTTCACAGCATTGCAGATAAAGCTACGATGGAAAATCTAGTTTTATAACTAGGTATTGTTATGCCTGAAATTTCTGGTATTAAGATTGCCATCTCAACTTATTGATCTTTTGAAACGCATGGACAAACTTTTGCAGACCATAAACAAACCTACAGAAGTTATTTTGAATTTTTTGTAGTCTAGATCTGATCACGTAATCAAGACAAGGAAAGGGAACAACTGAATAATTCATTAACGACATCACCAAAGCTTCAGTTAGTTTTTTTGCGAGACTTGAAGTTCAAAATCCATTAAAGTATAAAATCTTTCAACGCATGTATGTTAATCTAGATAAATTTCCAACTTGTTGCTCTGAATCCATAACGACTCCTACATTCTTCCATGAACCATGGTAGGAATATAAGTTTTATTGAGACTAAGGACGCTGTAATAACTGCTTCGGACCAAATAGCATAGCAGAACATTTTGTAGCATTGATCTTTAGACAATGCCTCTTAGAGTAATTTTTAATATTAACTATAAATAACCTAACTACAGTAGCGGACAAAAGTTTGGAAGCATTCTTAGTAATTTTTAAAAAGTGCGCTAATTTTTTATTCTTTATTATTAACGGCTATTTTTTTCTCATATAGTTTGCTTACAGTCTTGAGGAGACAAATGACAATTTGCGTTTTCTGTGGTACTACATGCCTTCATATTATTTGATGACCAAAAATGAGACGACAAAAGTATCGAAACATATTTTTTATTACAAAATTAAATAACTCTAGGAAAGATTTAAAAAATACTGTTTAGCTAATATTTGGTAGCATAGCTAGCATTTAACATTGCCTGACACCTGTTGCTCATAGAAGACACCAATTTTTTACAGACGATTTTTTACATAATCAAATAAATCGTTCTTTTTTTAAAGGTTTTTCTTGTCAGTTGTCTTTTAACATGCTCCCAGAGATGTTCTATAGGGTTTAGCTCCAGGGACTGCGAAGGCCATGCAAGAACATTAACATTTCTTAGTCTTACCCAGTCCTTTAAGAATTTTGAGGTATGTTTGGTTCATTATCTTGCTGGAATGTAAATCGTGAAGGCATTTCTTCTTCAACAAAAGGGATCATGTGTTTACTAAGAATATCTTTGTTAAGTTTTTGATCCATTTTCCCAACAATTTTAACAATTGGACCCGTTCCAGAACTAGAAAAACAGCCCCAAACCATGCTATTGCCTCCAACGTGCTTAACAGTTGGCAACTGATACTTTTTGTCGAATCTTTTTCGTATTGGACGTCTCACATATGCCGTACCGTCAGATCCAAGCATGTTAAATTTGCTTTAATCGCTCCATAAAACTGTATTCCATTGTTGCTCTGTCCAAGTAAGATGAGTTTGAACAAAATTCAAGCCGAGCAATACGATTTTTTTAAAATGAGAGGCTTTCCACTGGACGCCTACCAAACAATCCAAAACCGACCAAGCGTCTCTGCACTGTTCTGTCAGAAAGATTCTCGGCACCCTTATCTACGATTCTTTTGAAAATCTGTGTGGCTGGTATTCAGGGATCTTCATGAGACAAACGTTTAATGCAGCGTTCCAAAACAATCGGTTTTTTTCGGTCTTCCGTACCTGGGCCGCGTTGCTGTTGATTCGTATTCTTGATATTTACTAATAATTTTCGAAATCGTCCCTTTTTTCATTTTTAATCTTAATAATAATAATAATAATAATAATTCAATTAATTTGTCTCTTAAATCTTTTGAAAATTCTTTTACTTTTGCCATTCTCACTGATTTACCGCACGCAATATCAGAGTATCGCAGAACGAATAAACACGGCAAAACTGAAATGTTTCCATACTTTTGTCGTTACAAAGACTGTGGTATTCAAAAAAAAACGTGTGTTTTTATTTTCAGAGAATCTGAATATTGATAATATAAACCTTGTATTAGTACGGGAGCCAAAGGTAGACTTAAATATTCATATTATCTGTTCCTTCACAATTTTAATTTAGGTATATGAAATAGTTCATAATAATGTTAATATTTGTTTCCAAACTTTTGCCCGCTACTGTATATCTAAGTTCAGTTTGTATGACACTTTATGCAAGTCAAATGAATCGAATGACATAGTCAGCTGTATGTCTGCGGAAGTTTGTTGTAATCAAATGTATAAACTAAGTAGTGTCGCTAAAAAAACGTAAATTGTAGGAAAACAATTAAAATCTAGCATCAGAACTGTCTAGAAGCCAACGCACTTTTACATGTTTACACAAAAAAAAATACAAATTTGACGTCATCAGCTGTCAAACTGACGACTTGCAGTATCCACTACTCTTTACCTTGCTCAAAACTGTCTTTCATATGCGTCTGATCCTCGGGATGGAAGAAATCGAAACAGCTCTTCCCAAGCAACTCAGGTGGGGAATAACCGAGCAGTCCCATAACCCTTTGGTCGACGAAAGAGAACGTTCCGTCTTTGGAATGTCTGGATATGAACTCCGCGTTGCCTCCCGATCCGGACATGTCGCTGGTATTGGGTGTTGACGTAACTTGCAGTCTTCCGATAGCCACCAGACAACAATGGGATGAATGGATGTCATCCTCAGTCTGCCGGTCCAGTTGCACACCTGAGAACATATCTGATATTTTTCCAACTTAGATGTGTGTCGACGATAGGATATTGCATATGAATATCGTCCTCAGACCTAGTGAGATTTTTTACGCAAGGCGATTTAAGAAAAACAGCTGCAAATAAAAATTATTCTCGCTGGAATCTCCCCTCACCAAGACGCAGGGTGCTGTAAATGTTAGCACCAATGGCGGCACTGATTGGAGATAGAAAGTGACTATTCAAATTATGTCGTGGCACTCCCTCATATTTTTTACAATTTGCAAAGTGAATTTCCTGAGCACATTTCTTAGTAGAATGGATTCCAGTTCTGCCTCATAAAAAAGTTTTTCCGAGGGTGTGTACGTATGTGTAAAATAATAATTCCATTTCGTGGGCTACAGTCCAAACGGCTTCATGCATATGTGTTGTTATATTCATCTTGGCAGCGCAAGTGACACTGTGTATATTAAAATTTCATAAAATCAAAATGGGAGAATTTATACGAAAATTTCAACTAGGAAATTTCTAGCAACAGAAAACTTTTGAACCGAAGTTCGAATATTATCGCGAGTTTAATACTTCCATCAGTTAGGTACTCGTAGATTTTGGAAATTGATTCGGTGGCGGCGGAAATAAAATCGCTGGAAAATGGTGTTACAATGTTTCAGACATTCTTGTTCATTTTCAGACATTATTTGGAGAGGATGAAAATTGTAGGGTGTATGCGGAAAATTGTTGTATATTTGGTGTAAGTTTATTATTAAGAAGACGCTGATCTCAGTGATACTATGCACCTGTTAGACATAATAAGTCGCACATATTTTCCCTACATCTGCCATGGAAACGGATATGATTTGTTGTTTTATATAGTTTGATATTCAGAAGTCGGAGATTGATTGAACCTAAGTAAACCTAGAAAGATAATTCATAAAAACACAATGCATACACATATAAATGACAATTACAACAAACATGAGTATATACAGGGTTTAAAGTTAGTAGTGGATCAACGAAAGTCAGGTGATAGAGGGTCTCAATTCTCAAAATATATCGAATGAACCCCTATATGTTTGGTCCGAAATTTTATAGTTCAGGACATATTTGCAATTTTGTGAAATTTCGAAAAAAGCGAGATAATGAACTTTCAATCGCAATTACAACTAAACCATTAGGTTTAGGGCTGTGATTTTTTTCTGAGATGAGCTAAATGGTTATTTTTAGCAATAGTTATGTAACTTTTTAACAGAGCTAATTGGAAATCTACGCAAAAAATCTAAAATTCATTTTTTTTTGTGAAAAATCCCTTTGGAGGGCGGTAAAAAATTGAGGTTGTATTCAATTATTCATTTTATTGTAAAAACTATTTCAATCGATGTTGAATAAACCCTGAATATTTTAGCTTGCTACGATGAGTGTATCATGTCACATTCGTTGTTGTGATGCGATAAACGTAAGAAACGCAACAAAATCCTTACCACCTACAAGTACAGAACCTATTGCGTTTAGCCGCTCTTTATGGTGATTCACTGACAAATTTGGAAGATCATTTAATTTATCTAACATTTAAAGTACATGTTCGAAATGGCCTCCATTATTTTCTATACACAAGCGACACCTTCTAATAATGTTGTCCTTTAGTCTGAAATTAATTTGCGTTTTCCATAATTTTAATATTTGCTTCATCAATTTTCTGGCGCAGTTGATTCAGATGTACAGAATATCTCCTTATAAAAACCCCATATAAAAACCTAGAGGATTTAAATCGGGTGAACTTGGAGGCCATCGTATGTGTTCACCTCTAGCTATCCAACGCTCAGTACATTGTACAGTCTATAGTTTTTTGATTGTTTTAATATAATTCATTTGATGAAAAACATTTTTTCAGTGACTCAGAATATTCCCACCAAATTTGCTTTTTCAACTACTCTACTTCTACTGTATCATCAGCGTACACCGTCATTATGCTGTTATTGAAGGATTTCATGTGTTCAGGCAAATCATTAATGTACAAAACGAATAGAACTGGCCCAAGTATGGAACCTTGTGGTCTCCTCTGGATACAACCGATTCATTACTCACTTTTCCATTACAGTAAGAGCGCTGTTTTATGTCTGATAAATCTGTAAATACCTGAATACATTCACCCTCTAAAAAATAATCTAATCGTATTTAATAATAATAATAATGATAAACCGTCTTTTATTTGCAAAGAAAATTCAGTATAATAAAAAAATATATACAATACCAGTGGCGAAGTCTAGCTGACAGGTACTCTACTCAACCACTGGAGGGGAGCACCCAAATAAGCGAATAATTGAATTTGTTATTAAATAATATGTAATTACATATATCAAAATCAATGAGGTAAACAGAAAAAGTATACATATGATATAACATAGAGCAACACAGGCATTCGAAGTAAGACAGACATGTACAGATTATGCTTTTAACTTTTAAAAACTATAAAGGGCGTACAAAGAAAGGAACAACACATTCTATGTTAAACAGATCTAGCCACACTTTTGATATCAATATTGCTTTTATATATACATATATATATATATATATACATACATATACACACATATATAAGAGTTACACAATAATAAATAAATAAAAAGTTCTAATCCCAGTGATTTTCAATTTTTATGTCGATACCACAAAAACAGTTTTTACTGTAAATATAAACGAACAACATTTTACTCCTGCATATTTTGAGGAATTCTCTTAGTAGCATTCATTACGATTGAAAATTTTATGAAATCTGTGTTATGGATACATCCTTTACGAAACATTCAAATGCGTTAAATGTAACAATAGGTCTGAAGATGATAATATATTCATATCAAACCCCTGTACTATACCTGTTGGTGGCCAATTTTTTATGTAGCCTGTACAATGCACAACAGCGTAGTTCTGTCCATCACGGCTAGGCCCCAAACTGTTTCTTTGCTTCAGTCGATTCAGATGCCCGACGCTCATGCTTTCTGGGGACATGTTCCCCACTTTCATCCGACAAATGAACCCTCTTCTGGATCCCATGCACAATCTCATCGAAGCTGAAAAAAATTACATTATAAAAATAAAGTCTAAATTTCCACAAACACAAAGTGAGTGCCAAACGGATTTATCGAAAGCCCCTGATTAAAAGAAAATCGCCGAGACACGCCAAACGATTTGTCAAGGAGGACAACTTTTTAACCAAAAACTACTTCACCCTCTGCCTCCCAGGGTCATCCCCTTAAAAATTTTAAACAGCAAGGGGTATGGAGAGATAGCTTGTTTGAAAGGTCTTCTATAGTCCTTTATTTTGACGTTTGATTTTTATAAATCGGTCGATTCGTTTTCAAGAAAATTAAAAAATCTTTATTTATCTTAATTTGTTCAGTTAGAAAACAAAAACACACCAAAATATCACTTTTTATTTCAATAAGTGGTCAAAATGTTGCCCATTATTGGTCAAACAACGATACAGTCGATTTTTAAAAACATGTTGAGGGATATTATGGCAGCTTTCGATGATGCGTTGCCGAAGTTCATCCAAAATTTCAGGTTGGGGAGTAAACAATAGATTTTAAATGTCCCCATGGAAAAAAGTCATTTCTATATGCCCTCTTCGCCCTATCCAATTATCTGGAAGCTCGTCGTCTGTCCATTGCCGAACCGGAAGTGAGGAGGAGCGCCGTCTTGCAGGAAATATATTTCAGCCTCATCAAGTATAGGGTTTCCATCCTCTCCGATCTGGTTTTCAGTGGTTTCAGTAATAAGCGGATTGATGATATTTTCCAACATATCCAAATAAATGTCTCCATTCAAATTTCCATTAATAAACAATGGCCCAATCACTTTGTTCCCTAAATTGCCTGCCCGTACATTAATTTTTTTGGGGTACTGGGTGTGCTCTTCTACAAAAGCTTAGGATTTTCATTGCTCCAATACCTGCAGTTATGCTTATTAACAAATCCATTCAGATAAAATGTGCATACATCACTCAAGCAACCATTCGTTACATGAATGGTACTATCATTAATCGCTGCAGTCATTTGTTCACAAAACTCAACTCGCCAATCGAAATCATCTTCGGTTAACTCTTACACTATTTTCATTTTAAATGGATGAAATTTATTTAGTTTAGTAACTGTGTGTCCAGAGAGAGCGTAATGAAATACCAGTCACAGCAACAATTTGGCGTAGTGAAATATTAGGATTTCTTCCAAAATGACCCAAAACTTCAGCATGAGCGGCTTCATCCAAAACTCTCCGATAATCACGTTTTTTTATTTTCAACAGATCCAGTTTGAGTAAATTTAGTAACAAGGTCCAAAATATACCTACGCGACGTTATCTTTCCCGGATGTCTGGCGTTAAACGCCACTCTAGTTTGCCGAGCACATTGATTTTGGGCACCATGAATTAGAATCATTTCCACTCTTTCGGCTAGTGTGTAAATCATTTTGGAAGTAAAATCTGAATCAATAATATAATTTGCACTATCCCAAGATTGTCACAAAAGTAACTGACTGCAAATTAAATTCTTTCTTTCCCTTGGCACCAAATAACTAAACAGGTATAACAATAAATACAGTTCACCCAGGATACCTGTGTGCTGAAAAGAATACGGAAAAAATTCGGGTTATTTGGTTGTTGTCACGTCTGACCTTCCGAGTTGCTGTTTATGTTGGTAGTTTCCGTTTTAAATTATAAATGAATTGTAAATTTGGCGAACCCTAACGGGCAACATTTTGAAGACTTATTGAAATGAAAAGTGATATTTTCGTGTGTTTTTGTTTTCTATATTAAGATAAATAAATATTTTTCTAATTTTCTCGAAAACGAATCGACTGATTTGAAAAAATCAAACGTCAAAATAAAGGACTTCGAAATACCTTTTAAAGAAGCTATTGCTCGATACCCCTTGTCATTGAAAATTTTTACGGAAAGGGGTGAAGTAGTTTTTGGTTAAAAAGTTGCCCCCCTTGACAAATCTTTTGACGTGTCTCGGCGGTTTTTGTTTTAATGAGTGGTTTTCGATAAATGCGTGGTGATGAACACAAGTTACAACATTAGACCGATCAAGGCATTATATCATATTATAATACGATAATATCAATCATGTAGTACTTACATTGATGCCCTTCCTTTTTGACAGTACCAGTCTTGAGATCGAGAATCCTGCCGGTATTCTGCGGCTCCTGGGTGGAAAGCTGCTCCCTAACTTTTTCCACATCTTCGGGATGAATGTTATCGTAAAGGCAGGACCCATACCAGTCACTTTGCGAATAGTTAAGGACGGGAGCGACTGAATCCGAAACGTAGATTACTCGACCCGTATCGCAGCTAACGACGAAAAGGAACCCGTCAGCTGCTTCCAGGATGAGATGTTTCAGTTCTTGGTCGGTCAAGAAGGATGGTTTGTAGGTGCCGTCTGTGCTCGTATTGCCAGTACCTGGAACAAAAACAAGATAGAGTCCAGTAGGTAAAAAATCTATATGTCAAAAAAAAAACGACAAAACGTCAGCTTGCTGACTAGATAGTTCCTAGTGTGCAAATAGTTCCTTCTGCTGTTGCTTGCATCTGTGGAGGAATGACTCAAGACACGCTCAATGACCAGCTACAAGTCAGTCTCCCAACATGCTTTGTTGGTTGCATAATGTAGAGATAGTCTGTAGACTATATCTCTGACTATATCTCCAATAACGCCACATGTGAAGCAGATGTTACATCACATCAGAGCCAAACATCGATACCCGAAGCGTCGTGACGTTTAGGCAACACGTACAGCTACAGAACGAGTGCACAACAAGTGAACAACAGCTAGTTCCAAGTTGACATCGTGTGACCTACATGATGTCACTAAAAACCTAAATAATGTAAAAAACGACATAATGTCAGTTTTCAAAATACGTAATACCCTTCAATACTTGCAAATAATTTATCACAAATGTCGACTAGACAACTCATGGGAATGGGAAACAGTGCGGTGTTGGCGAACCACAACCTGACAACACTGTTGGCATCCAGAAAAGATGGCGGCTTTGATAAGTACAACAGTTTATTGCTGTCATTTGTAGTTAACATCTCTTTTGTTTGTGTCTGGATGGCTGGATGCTTTGAAGGTAGGTTTTTTGTAACTACAAATTGTATTAAAGTCATTCTTATTCAAACTACATTTTTTGTTGAGGTGATGAACTTTGGAATCGGGAGTATAACACCTATGTTGGTGAAATTGTATAAGAGAACAACTCATTTTTTTCTAGGTGATTGTAATCAACAAAGGAAGTATCCGGGTCGGTTGAAAAAAGGTTTAGTAATAAAGAGATTCTATATTGTTAGAACATTACGACTGTTGAGGATTTCTACTTCATAGAATATGAACTTCAACATAAATGGTTTTGTTACTTTAGTAAATATGTATAGCTTAAAAAGCATCATATACTTTAATGATGCTGTAAAATTACTAAATTATATATAATCATATTTTCCGTAACAGTTGTTAACGATAGCTAGTATTTCTTTTTGAAATAATGTGTTTTCATCTGCAATTCTAACAATTTTTCCATGCAGGTGGTGCAGAAGACCATCACCATAAATGAAAATATTTGGACCATAAATATTATTAATGTATTCATACAATATTTATAAAATTTAGATAAAAATATATTCTCAAGTATAGGTTTTTTAATAATCTCTCAATTTCAAATAACTAGGATATATGGATATTTGTCAAAACAGCGAAAATATGTTAATAACACATGCCGTTATAAAATCTTCTATATATCATTAGTAAATGCCCATTATATAACTATAATTATACAAGTCTCAGATATATGCAAAGAGCCGGCAAGTTCGCATACGGCGTTCGAGCACAATCTGGCAACCATGTGGCATCCAGAAAAAATGGCGATTGACAATGACATAAATCAACCTTGTTGCCCTATAAATAGTACGTGACTAAACCTTCTTCGGTGTATATTTTTTGTGATTCCGCGTTCGCTGTCCACTGGCTCGACTGACGATCAATTTACTCCCTTTGGTGCTAACTTGTGATGAACATAAGAGTCCAGCTACTAGACGCAATTTTTTCAACTCCCTAGACATTTTTTGGCTAATCCCCAAAAAGTTAAAAACGGTACTAAAAACAAACGATTTCAAATGATATGATTCCTCCAAAAGTTTTCTGACTACGCCTAAAACCACTTTGGATTTCGAGAAATGTCAAAAAAATTCTGAAATATTTCGTGTACCGTTGATAACTTTATCGCCACTGTACGGATTTTCAAAACGTACAAAGTTTCATGCATGGCATGGCAATTCCATCAAATCCGAAAAACACTTTCAGAGTTATATAAGGATTAAAGACGGAAAGAGTGACGATGAGAACGTAATTTTGGTGCTTACTTTTTTTTGGAAATAACAATACTTTCTCGCAATATTGCAAAAAATCATCATCATTTTTTTGATAACATCAAAGTAAAGCTGAATTAAACTTCAACTTAGATTTCAACTAATACGTAATACATATTGGAAAGAACCCCTGCAGCATCTCTGTTTATATCAATAATACCTTACTTACATTTTCCTATTACGCAAAGATTTTAGATTTATATTTGAAGTTATCTCAGACTAAGACTTCTAGTTTTGAATAAAACTATATTAAATAGAAAAAATAAAAAAAAAACGAGGCTTTGAGTAAAATAGTTTACTGCAACAAATTCCACTATATAAACAATTTAAGAAGGTAGTATAAAAAATGTAGTCGTGGTTCACTGGATACATGATCAAATCCTTAATATAGAGTAGCACTACTTGACGCGTTTTCATAGAATCGCTACCGTTCAGGTTGACCTGACCTGTATCCAGTTGACACCGCTAGGTATCGTATATAAAATGTAAATGGTGACTTCTGTGAAGAGTAAAATGCTTGGAATCCTAAAGCACAGTTAAAGAGACATCAATAAAGACATTTTGTAATGGGTCGTATTTCGTATAGACAATGCAGGTAGACTCTTGTCTGTTATTTTGAGCACTGACGTTCTTAGAAAAACCTATCGGATATGCAAAACGCATACTGAATTGAAATGAACTTAGCCATGTCACTGGACAACGGCTCGTGTTTAATATTTTTCATTCTAACTTGGACGCTTATTGGCATATTGTCTATGCTGCTTTTACACAGGACCGAACTGAGGAAATAGTGAGATTCTCCACCCGCTGTGAGAAGATTTCAGTATGAGACAGAAAACTTGTGAACTGAAGTTATAGCGAGTTTAATACTACCATCGTTTAGGTAGGCGTAGATTTTGAAAATTGATTCAGTCACAACGTTTCAGAGATGCCTGTTCATTTTCCCACAATGTTTGGAGGAGATCAAAATTGTAAGTTGGCAGCTGAATTCGGTAAATGGTTGTAAATTGTTGCATTGTTGTGAGAAATCACGTTTTGATTTCGCCTTTTGAAACGATTTGACTCATCCCTTATACGAAGTACAGAGTCAATCTACTTGACGTCATTTTTTTACATAAATTCTCAATCATTTTGGTCCTATACAGTTTCTCCGAACAGTCAACAGTTTACGAGAGATGTAACGTCAAAGTTACATGTAATTACATTTACGCTTATAACGACTAGACTAGTAACCCAAACCGACACATAATATTTTGCAAACCACATGGGAGATACAGCTATTCCAATTCTTATTTAGGCGTGTTTCAAGCATGCTTATGCTTATACAAAATTTCATACTCGAATGAAATTTCTCGGTTTCAAGCGATAATTGAAAAAGCTACCGGTCCGGGCAGGCAGGCGCCCAACTCCGTGCTATGCATCGTAAGGCCTATCTACAGTACCTTTCTCATATCTTTTAAAATAAAATGTCAATGGAGTAAAGTCCTTCGATACATTTAGGATATTTTTCGAAAGAATCTGCTCGACATTTTTGCAATTTTTCGTCAGTGCTCATCAAGAGTTATTTCACGAGCAAGTTCAGTCTCACACGTGAAAACCACAAGCAACACAATAGCAAAATAGGTTTTATCGTGCAGCATATGGTAATTGAGAACAAGCGAGTGAATTTTTATGACACATTGAGAAGGTTAAAATAAATATAAGCAGATGAATGGAAAATAATGGAGCGATTCAAAACGGCAATAAAATGAATTTTCGTTTTGTTGCATTTTGCAACTATGTTTGCACCAGTTGCCGAGCTTAAGACGTAAACGTACCAGGAAATGTAGACAAGGTGTGAGAGTCATTTGATTGCAATTTTTTACTATATAAACGGGATCAGATACAGGTAAAATGATTACGGATTCGGTTTTAGCGACCAAAAATACATATGATACAGGTCATTTGAGTTTCATTTCAAGTACTTTAATAATGGATCGGTCGGGAATGTGAGCCCGACTACCCTTGAGGTGGTTGGTCACGTTTTTTTATGTTGCTTTTCTGTCCGCTGATTGGATTTTTGTGATGGTCTGTAGTGGTACATGCTTTAATAATGCTGTTATTAGGTCTTATACACTTTATTCAAAAATTAAGAAATTTTTTTGGTCCAATTTTTTTAATCGGATTTACATACTTTCTAGAAAAATATCAATAGGACCGAGTACAAACTTCGTGTCCACATTAAGTTAAAGTATGTTAATGTCATGAGCCCATTGTTTGACAAAAAATGTTTTTTTGGGCAATATTATCTGATAACTTTTCTACCATACTTTTTTGACAAGTCTTGGAAGGCTCATGACATGCAAACCATCATATCCTGTCGATAAGTGAAGAAATTTTTGTGACTGTTTAAAAATTTAACGAGATAATATGGAAATACGATTAAAAAATCTATTCGACCACGCCTCCCACTCGCTCCGCCCAAGCTGTCAAGCATCTCGCCGTATCCAGCCTGGTTGTCATATTGTTGAAAAGCAAATTTCAGAAACCAGCGCGTTTTTTTGGAATTTGGATGATATGTTGACTAGCCTAATCATATTAGCAAGTTTCCCCGAAATAATTGTAGTCTGGATTTATTGGTGCAAGTTGTTCAAGGGAGTATTTTAAACATGGACGCAAAAAATGGGTACACCAATTTTTGTGGGAAAACTTTTTTTTTGACAACAAAGAATGAGAAAACGTGTTTTTTTGGGATTCAATCGAAAGTGTTGACAGGAACGAGAAAATATGTAAGATTTTCAGATATTTATGAGACCTACAAAATGAGACGACACGTAAAAAGATTCGACTAATAGCAAAAATGTTGAGGATGAAAACGAGGCAAAAAGCACGTTTTGGCACTTGTTGCTAATGCGACGGAAATTTGACGCAACTACTTGAAATTCTTCAAATCCGTAGGATTCAAACTTCTAAATGACGACAAGAAAATTGGATTACATTGGTCAAGTAGTTTTTTGAAAATTTCTAATTATTTATCTCAAAACACCTGTTTTCCGGCCATCACCACTAGTTTATTGAGCGCAATATACAGGGTTCGTTCAAAGAGCATAGCAAAATACACGTCTTTACCTTGCCGATATGATTCACAAACCATTCCGAAAGATGAATGTTATTTTTACGCGAAAAACAAAGGTTACGTTTTTTCTTCTAAACAAGTTCAAACATTTCGTATTTGTGAGTAATTGAACAAATGCGCTATGATATTCGAAAAACAGACGATACTATACACATTTTAAAACAAAGCGGATGTGTCTATCATCTTTTGTTGCGAATTACGGACAAATACGAAATGTTTGAATTTGTTTAGAAGCAAAAACGTAACCCATCCTTTTTTGCATAAAAGTAACATTTATCTTCCGGAATGGGTTGCGATTCATATCGGCAAGGTAAACTAGTGTATTTTGCTATAAAATGCTTTCGAAGTAACCCTGTATATTGCTCAATAAACTAGTAGTGATGGCCGGAAAACAGGTGTTTTGGGATAAAGAATTAGAAATTCTCAAAAACTACTTGACCAATCTACTCCATTTTGTTGTGGTTATTTAGAAGTACGAATCCTACAAATCTGAAGAATTTCAAATATCTGCGAGAAACCATCGTCGCATTACCAACAAGTGCCAAAACCTGCATCTTGCCTCGGTTTTCGGCCATCACTTTTTTGCTATTAGTCGGATCTTTTTACGTGTGATCTCATTTTGTAGGTCTCATAAATACCTAAAAATCTTATATGACGATTTTTTTCGTTCCTGCCGACACTTTTGATTGAATCCCAAGAAAACACGTTTTCTCATTCTTTGTTGTCGAATAAAAAGTTTTCCCATAAAAATTGGTGTACCCATTTTATGCGTCCATGTTTTGAACACCACCCTTGCAGTAATAAAATCAGACTTTACAATTATTTCACAAACCAGGAGTATTTTCGTCTAATTTGATTAGACTAAACCTATGATACTTGAAATAGACGGAGAGATGCGGACATTTCGACTTCCTAATAACAAATATAAATATTTTATAGTTGGAACTGTTTATATAATGTATAGTGACTTAAGCCATTGCCATTGACCATTATGAAACATTTTGTTAGAAAAAAACAAGTAATCTTATTTCACGTGAATATTTTATAATATATATATATATATATATATATATATATATATATATATATATATATATATATATAACTTGAGATGTGGTCATTGTCGTTTAGACCGTTAGGTGAAAAATAAAGCTTCCGTCTTTTGTTGGGTACTTCGACAAAATTCAAGCAAAGAGGACTCTTTATACTTTATTAATCTCTAGCTTTCAATGGACTTTGCCATCTTCATCAGGAGCTGCAATAACCTAAACGTTAATAACATTTAGCAATAATCTCACATACGACTGTAAGTTAATTTAAAATCATTTTGCACAATAGTTGCTATTTCCTCTCAATGTTATTGCAGCTCCTGATGAAGATGGCAAAGTCCATTGAAAGCTAGAGATTAATAAAGTATAAAGAGCCCTCTTTGCTTGGATATATATATATTGATAGTGATGATTAGTTTTTCAGCTCAACTATCTTGTATAATTGATTCTATAGCTCGTTGAACCGCGCAAAAAATTTAGAATAAAAGTAGATTTACTCAGCACTTTACGCTTTGTAGGTCCCTCATGGCCTCCTTACATGTGACGGGTAGATTCCTGCATTCTTTGAGGTAAATAGTGAAATAAGGAAGCCTTGAAGTTATGTAAGGCGATAAGAAAGCCTTAGATCAAACAAAACCATCTTTTTTCTCGAGAAAGCTATTTGACAACTCTGCGCCAAGAATGTCCTTACTAGGAGGAGGTCTGAAGTAAAGAAACGACTCCTATCACGCGCAAAATAAATAAATATGCTTCGCTTAAAAATAAGGAGGATATAACACACGTTCAGCGGAAAGAGTTAACCAAAAACTTACTCGATATGCTAAAGAATGGATAGTGGTTCCTGAAGGCCCTTTAATTGCTTTGTCACCTGCGATGACAGGAGAATTGTCAGATGTCAAATAAGGCGGGCTTTTACGGTTTGAGGTTCTCTTATTATATTTGGTCATGTGTCTCTGTAGACTCAACACATATAGTCAATAAGAACGCCTCAGATCAAACAATATCGCCTTTAATTCTTGAGGAAGATTTTTGCCAAATCACCTGCCATTCGCATATTTCGCGAGTGTCAATGTAAATAAGAAGGCCTCGAATGAATGAAGAACTATGCGTGGCTCAAGGCAAAACGCTGAAAATTGTCAGCTGTATAGAAACCAAACTCGTGGTCGTATTTTGCCCTGTGAAGAAGCAGCCCCAATTACAGTGAGTTGTGCTTTAGTTCAGAATGTGTCTATGTCGATGATACGATCGACCTAGGTGGCATTTATAAAATGTACGTAGGAGGTCATAAAACTTCCGCAAAATCACGACCATCTTGTACGTGCACAGTACAATGCAGCATCGAAAGGGAAAAAAAGTAAAACAAAAATGAAAATGCAACAGTTTGGCGGAAACGCATCGCACTGGGCTTAAATAATAAGGGCATTAATCCTGGTTAGCGAAGAGTAGGCATTCTGTGCCCCATAACTAACATACAGATACCATCGCTCTCCGCACACCGACCATGGTCGCTACATCCGCAAGGATTAAGGTACGCTCACAGAAGGCGAACCCTCGCGTTCGCTGGAAAAATTTTAGGACTCGAAAAAAAAATCCCTTAAGCTTTGTTTTACCTTTCAGATGATCCTGATCATTTTCGACAAATTTTTTGTAGGAATTGAAACGTGGGTAGGAGATTGTAAATGCAACGTTTTGGAATTAGTCAAAGACATTCTATCATTAAGAAGCTTCTGATTTCGGTAACAACGCGAAAATTAAATCATTAAAGTCCGATATATAATGTGCTCATAATTCTAAATGACTTGGCAATCGTTGGCCGTTGCGTACACAGCGCGATGCTGCATCGTCGTGAAGGCCACTGCCGACTGTGCAATGTGTAACAAACTCCAACTGGTCTGCGATGGTGTCGTCACTGACACACCGCTACAGGAGAAATATTTATATATATTAGCAATACATACCTATTTGGATTTTCGGAGTACGTACCAGGTGAATTTTGATGCAAACTTGTAAAAATATTTGCTATTATGGCAAAGGCTTTTTTGTCGTATCCATTCCATCTGTTTCATTGGTGTTCCATTGGATTATCATGCCTAGAGTTCGCAGACTCAACTTGTGAGTTGAGAGGGGTCGGATATTCGGGTTACGTGAAGCCGGATATTCTTTTAGAGAAATCGCTAATCGGGTGAATCGAAACGAAGCTACTGTAATGAGATGTTGTCGAGCGTGGTTTCAAGAAGGCCGAAATCGACGAGTTAGAGGTACTGGACGTCAAAGACAGACTACAGAGGGAGAGGTTTGTTATTTGATCTAGCACTTAGAGATCGATTTTCCACAACAAGGGCAGTTGCGAACCAGTGGTTTGATGCTGTCGGACGGACAATAACAATGAGGTCAGTTTATCGCCGAATAAAGGTCTTTTGGACTGTTTTCATACCGCCCCCATCTTGTACTACCTCCAACCCCACAGCATCGTCGGCAACGATTGGTATAGAGTAGGGAGAGACTCGAATGGAATATGGAATCGGACTCAGTCGTGTTCAGCGACGGGTCCAGATTCTGTATGGGCACACATGATGGCTGTGCAAGAGTAAGGAGGAGACGTGGTGAAACATCGAATGGCATATTCATCGCACTGTGGGTCTTATGGTATGGGAAACACGGAATTGTGTCTTTAACACGTTCGCTGCCGATGACTCCGATCGGAGCCAAACGGTAATCTTCGCCATGAATAATCATGGTTTCAATGCCGACGGCTCCGATCGGGGACAATTTTTTTCTCTGCCAATATACACCTTTTTTAAATTCGATACCACTATAAATAACTAAAAATGATTACATATACCAATATTAGTCTGATTGCTGAACAAAAGTATTTGGCCATTGGGAGCAGTTACGAGGGATGTCTTTTAAGTTTTGCATATAGAAACATAGTAGGCCGCGCGGATCGAACGTCAGTACTGAATCTTAACCTCACTCTTTAGTAAACTTAAATTCAAAGTTTCACAACAATACGTGCAGTGTTCTCACTACAGTGAATTTTCAAGTGTCACCAAGTCATTAGAAAAATGGAACTCCACCGAGAACATTTTTGCGCCATAATTTATTACAACTTTCAGAGACAATTATCGCAACAAGAATGCCTTGAGTTACTGTCTGTTTTCGGCAATTTCCCGTTGGTATGGAGAATTGAAACGTGGACGGGTGAGTCTTAGCGACGATCCCAGGGTGGGTGCACCAAAAACGGCAGTCACCCAGGAAAACGTCGATGCTGTGCGCAAACTCATCATTGAAGATAGACATGTGACATATCGCGAGATTGAGGCGTCCTTGAAGATCTCAAAGACCTCAATTCAAATAATTTTAAATGCAGAATTAGGAGTAAGAAAATTAGTTTCTCGTTGGATACCCCACCTGTTAACTAAAAAGCGGAAAGCAGCCAGGGATAATTGGTGTCAAAAAACGCTTGACCGTTTCAATTCCGGAAACTCAAAAAATGTGTACAGCATTGTTAGTGGTGATAAATCGTGGATTTACTGTTACGACGAAAAGTCATCACCGAGCTTCGAAAAATCAACCCCGAAAGAAGAATCACCCTCCACCAAGACAATGCATGCTCCCACACAGCCCAAAAAACAAGGCAGTATTTAACGGAAGAAAACGTGGAATTATTGGACCATCCTCCATATAGTCCCGATGTAAGTCTTAACGATTTCTTTACTTTTCCGAAAATTAAAAACAGACTGCGTGGTCAAAGGTTCCAATCACCAGACGCATTCAAAAATGCCGTTTTGGATCTGCCAGCAAACGAGTGGAATAAATGCTTCGAAAATTGGTTCGAGCGCATGCAGATGTGTATTAATCTTCGTGGAGAATACTTCGAAAAACAATAAAGTCATTTAAAACTACCTACCGTCTCGTTTTATTTCCATATGCAAAACTTTAAAGACATCCCTCGTAATCCAGTCTGAGTAGGCAGCGAACATGTTAAGCAACAGAAAACTGAACTGAAGTTATTATCGCGAGTTTGATACTCCCATCATTTAGGTAGTCGTAGATTTTGCAAATTGATTCAGTGGCTACCAAAAATGAAATCGCTGGAACATAGAACCTACAACGCAATTATTTTTTACTATGCTTCACCTCGATCCACAAAATTACTATCATAAAACGAATTAAAAAGACATGCACCTATTAGATATAAAAAGTCACACATATTTTCACACATCTGCATTGGTAACAGAAATATGACAGATTTGTTCTATATAGTTAGATATCCAGAGGTCGAAGATTCATCGTACCTAAGTGAACCGAATCACGATTCGGTTCCCCCCCTCCCCTCCCCGATCTCTGCTGGTGAGCTGGAAAAAAGAAAACTGGCCGCGACTTCCTCTCTGACGAGAGACCTGGAGGTTATTACTGCTTGGCGTCGCAACACATGTCTACAATAGTGGCAGCTGCTGGGAAAAGGCTAGGCTATTTGTTTAGGGCTAAGAAATAGTTTTCTCCACATGAACTGGCCGATACGACCGCTCCTTTGTCCATAGGGTATCGAGATTGTAGAACAATCTACCAGAGGTTTTCGCAATTCTACTAACATTAGGCAGTTTAAAAATTGGATTAACAAAGTTTGTTCAAGCTTCAAGCATTTAGGCTTCTGCTTCGGTGTAAAAAAAAGTTTGCAACACTTGCAAGTGGGGTTTCTGCGACGACACTGAGTCGACGGTGCGCCATGGTGGAACGCTAGGTCCGTTACCAGCTTGGAACAACTGAACACTGAACAGTTGCCAATGTAACAGAAAGAGAAAAAAACAAAGTATTCTCACTCGTAAACAACTGGGGATCCTCGCTGTTCGACAGATTTCCTCGAATGAGAAAATAGGAATCTATGCTAATACCTTTATGACCTCTGCGATAAATGCATACGTATGACTATCTACAATATTTTGCTTGGCTTATGTATACATAAATTCTACTGTAGGCATCTTGCAAGTATTTGTGCATCGAAATGTCACCTAGCTTTACATTTAACTATGGATTTTGTGGACTAAAGGTGCGTATCACTAATGCCTAATTAATCGTATCATATAATTTTTTTATTAATTTACAATAATTTTAAAATTCTACGTACTTTCCCCGGAAAGCGGATTTATACTATTTGCAAGCCCTTTAAGGCGTAAACAACGTTTTTCGCACCATTTCACGAGTTTTCTCAGATAAGCATGAAAAACTTGCAGTTTTTTAGGGGCAAAATTACATTCCTTTCATTATCACTTGTAGCCTGCCACTTCCAATTCCACGTTTTGCACATCTACAATTTCGAAAAAGTCGGACACACCATCTATTCAATGGTTTATTTACTTGGCCTCTGATGATGTTATGACGTTAGCGTGATAATTACTGGTACTAACAAATATGCCCCCCTGCAGGTTGATGATATATTGCCTAGGTTTTCTAAGGTGCTGTGAGTTGAAAGAAGAGTAGTGTCTTCGGCATACAGGAATAGTTTGCTACTATTACCGTTACTCAGACAATTTTGTATGTCATTTATGTATAACAAGGATAACAATGGTCCAAGTACATATCCTTGAGGGACCCATGTAAAATTGTGGTGACAGTAGATCTGCAATTTTTGTGTTACACAACTTGCTGTCTTAACAGGTAAGACTTGATGATCCACACGATTTGCGTAATGATCTCCAAATGTCAGACTTGTCTTACCTCAACCCAATGGTCAAATCAGCATCTACTAGCCATCACGCTCAGCTAGTGAGATGCAAAAAAAAATTGGATGGAAAAACAAAGAAAAAACCTTCGTGAGATGTCGCTTCTGAGTTATTGCACGACTACGCAACAACGCATCATCGACAATGTAGAAACACTCGAAGATATGCCTTTCTGTGTCTAATCAACAAAAGCTATATGCCGCTCTCCGATTCCCATGATTATTATTAAGATAGATTCGCAGAATTCAATCTTAAAATGAAGGACAGACACATTGACATCAGACGTGGAATTGACTACTAGTGGAAATAATTAACAAATGATTTTCATAAATAATACATGCGATAATTATACAATATTTCTCACGTACTAATATCCGACTCAGGACATTAACACTAAAACCCATAACACAACAATTATCAAAATTTTATCTGGAACTTGCTAGGCTTTCAAAGGCATAATATCATACCTATTAAACATCCGAACACCGAGATTATCTCGCATTTTTTTAGATTTTAACTGAAGTTTCATGGTATCAAATAAATAATAGTTTAAAAAAACAAAAAAAAAACACGCTTTTATAGCTAATCGTACTAAAAAGTAGAACATAATTTTTAATTACAAAGAGTTTATAGTACAGTAGTAGATGGTCGAACAATAAATCATAATTAATGACCTCAAAATAAAATTATAATAAAATTAAAGTTATTATCAGAATAATTCAATAAAAAGTGTAGGGTGCTTGATATATTAAATGTTACTCCCCTATAGAGGATCAATAAAAAATGTATCAATCCTGCCGGTCCTAATAAGGATAATGGAAAACTGTTATCAAATTATTGGATTGTCATCGGCCATTGATACGTGTGCGAAGTTTCAATTTAATCAAACTTCTGGAAATTGGTGAAAATTATGCTCAAAGATTCCGTTCCATGCATACATACAGGCCTAGCTAATAAAAGCGTGTTAAAAACCAATTCGTCGATGACCCCAAGAATGACCTAGATAATCTCAAATTCAAAATTTTCTTGGCCATTAAAGCAGTATTTGATGCTCTGTACTACCCACGTCATACCAAGCTCCTCTTCTTTTAAAAAGATAATTATTAACGAGGTTTTAACAACTTCACAAACAATTAGTCACCATCAATCATTCGCTTTCAACATGTTTTAAAATCGTCTTCCATACTTGCTTAATGCATTACCGCAAAAGTAGTAACAACTGTGCGTTAATCCCGCAGTAATTCTTGTTCAATTCAGTTTGTATGCCAGAATTTTTATTCGCTCCAATTTGGAGAGACTTGCAATAGCCAGAGCGTTAACTTTCTTCAACTCACCCAAAAGCGCGACTAGTGTTAGCGAGCAATTTTGCTCCTTTGTCACTCCAGAGCGGCAAACGGTCAATTTTGCTCGGTCCTCGGTAAACGACAACTTTGCGCGCTCGTGAAAAAAACGGCAGTATAAACGCTTACCTCTGAGTTGCTTCATATGAGCGACGGCCATCCTGAGTATGGTCAGCTTGTCGGGTTTTCTGGCAAGAGCGCTGCATGTGGGCACCATGTCTGACAGTTCGGTGATGTAGGCTGTCATCTTGTTCCGCCTCCGCCGTTCGATTTCGCAATGGTTCTCCCTACTGTAAGTCGCAAAAAACGCATCGGTCATTACATCGTTAGCCAAAGATTTACAGAAGCAACTTATACGATTACAGCTCTCGAACAGCATTGTGATAAATTCTCCATAACCTTTATAATGAAAACAGCTCAATAAGCTGTCTTAATAACATCACAAAGTAACAAATGCATTTTTTAGCAACAAAATCGTGATTTCTTTCTTTGTGTTAAGAAGTTTTAGGGTTTCAAAGCGTCATATATTAATAGTCCCAAGAAATAACGATCTGATAGATCTCAGATCGTAAGATATGGTGGGTGTACATCACGTACTACTCGGAAAACTTCTGGAATCCCGCAGGGTTCCCACTTAGCTCCACTGTAATGTAATATATACTAAGTGACATATAAATCCGAACACCCAGTTTAAATGGTTTTATTTTAATAAAATTTTGTATAAGTACTTAATGAAGCATAATAAGTAAATGATAAAAATTTCAAAATGATTGCACTGCTTTAAAGCCCTTTGACCTTTAATAATGTGTGGATGCACCCTGATGTGCTACGCATCCTCCAACGCGCCTAGGCATGATTCTGATCAGGTGGTCAATGTCCTCCTGTGGTATCTCATTCCAGGCAACCACCAACTCCTCTCGAAGTGCTTCTAGAGTCTGAGGAGGACGTTGCAAATTGAGCAATCTCCTGCTCAATTGGGGATAAGTCGGGAGATCTTGGTGGCCATGGTAACAATGTGACATCATTATGTTGAAAGAAGTCTATTGTGACTCTTGCAACATGTGGTCGGGCATTATCTTGTTGGAAAGTTGGATCTGCCAGGGTGTCAAGATTGGGTAAAAGATGGGGTTCTAGAACTTCGTGGATATAACGCTGCGCGTTCATGTTACCTCTGATGAAGATTAAATGTGACTTGGAACCATAAGCTATAGCACCCCAAACCATAACTCCAACAGTGTGATGAACATGTCTTTCAACAAAAAACTGTGGATTCCTCTTTTCACCACGTCGCCTTCTAACCCTGGCACGACCATCGTGCATGCCTAAACAAAATCGAGACTCGTCACTAAAGACAATACTGTTCCATTCCTGATCCCAGAGTGACCGTTGTCTGCACCACTCAAGGCGATTACGTCGGTGTTCTCGAGTTAAAGGGAGGACCCAGTGTGGCCGGTATGAAAACAAGCCAAAACTTCTCATTCGTCAGTAAACACTTCGCATGCCAATAGGTCTTCCGTGTTCTGCAAACCATTCATTTGCAATGGACCTGGTAGTGGAGAAACGGTCCCTTAAGGCCAATAATCTTAGGCGGCGATCTTCACGATCTGTTGTTCTACGGTGGCGTCCAGTGCTCCTTGCTCTTTGCGTACGGCCTTCTCGAAGCCATGCCTGACAACACCTAATCACAGTGTCTACACTTCTTTGCACTCTAACTGCAATTGCCCGAAAAGAAAGTCCAGCTTCCCGAAGTCCCACTATACGGCCCCTATCAAACTCACTAAGTTGACGAAATCGTACAGGTCTCCGTACTCTAGGCATCGTAACCGATCGTAAAGGATGTCAAGAATCAAAATCCGCCAACGTTGATTCTTTACTGCGGCTGAAATATTCATTTTCAGAGCGTTAGTGAATTAAAAAAAAACAGTATAAAAACCGGAATGTCCAACTGATAAGGCTGAAAATTTTTTCACTTGTTATTTACAGTAAGGTAAATGCATTCACCAGCTTTTATTAAAATAAAACCATTTAAACTGGGTGTTCGGATTTATATGTCACTTAGTATATTTGTTAATGATCTTGTGAGTTTACTACGCAGTGAAATTCTTTTATTGATGATGTCAAGATTTTCAGAATTATTGGGAACAAACATGATGATGAATTGCTACAAAGAGACTTGGACCATACTTCTCATTGGTGCGGAGTGAACGTTTTACTTTTACATAATGCGAACTCTTTCAAAATAATATTCGTTCTCCTATTACGTATTCTTATAGCATCTAGGGTAGATCTTTATACAAACTAGAGACCAGATCAAGGACTTGGGACCTATTTTTGACTCAAAATTATCATTTAACATACATAAAAACAATCAACTGTACATATAAGATGCAAGGATTTATAATTTGGGGGCAACAGTTTTACCCGTGATTGAATAAACGTTTTAGAGGAGATTTGTTACCTCGTGAAAATTTACATAAAATGCGCAGTTCGAATATTCAAAATCTAGATATTTCTGACAGCATATAAGTCTAGATTATAGGACAGTCAAATTAGATCATTTTCTCATTGCAACCCGAAATTCTACTGAATAACGTATTGGCCATCGTTCTCAAGATAATCAAAGACTCCGTATTCGTGTCTAGAAAATTACTGCCGAGAAATTGAGATTGGCAATGAAGACAAAGTACCAGAGCCAGCGCTTAATAAAAATTATATAAAAAGGTGCTGATTTAACAATTTGACCGTAAAATTTGCAGTTTTACTTGCTGCACTAATTGGCGAGGAGGTATTGTAACTGCGAATAATTTTGAAAATTAGATATCACGTAAATCACGGAAAACAGTGCCACTTATTTCCGTTGTTCTGTCTGCCTGTCTGTCTGTCCGCAAATCATTGGCCTTCTGATCTACTGGAACAGCCAGAACTTCGTCCGGATAGCCACGGTCCAAAGGACAATTTTAAACGAATGATATATGACTTCAAAATAATTTCTGTTTTGTTGGAACACCCTACTTTCTTTCAAGTAACCGATCCTATATTTTATCTAGTAACTAATACCTAGTTAATGAGTTTCTGGCGCGCCTTATATAGGTAATTTTCATTGAACATAGATGGTTAAAGTAATAAATCGGTTTCTAATGTTAATTAGCATTCAAGATATGTTCAACAAATGCAAATGAGCAGACAGTTTGTATACTAAAACATTGCAATGAATATTTTTAATCCTAGTTTTCGCTTTTCACGCATCATAGTAATACCGAAATAATGAGAATTGTGATTATCCGTACAGGGTGTGTCAGGATGACCTTAATGCTCGGAACCGTTAGAAAATCGTGCATCTACCATATGCACATAGAGTAGGAATTCATCAAGTCAAGTAACTTAATATTTTCGTTCGTTTTTTTTATCATTACGCACAAAAAAGGCTTCCATTAACATTTCTCTAAAGCTGACAATTATCGAGTTATACACGATTTAATGTCTGAAAAGTGCTAAAAATTGGTATATGCCAAGTATCTAAATTGAAGTTTAAACCTTGTTTAGAGAGTATTTTAAAGCGACTTTTAACCTTGTCTGTTAGGCGAAAATTGGCGAACTTTGCTTTTCGCATACTGTACATGAAATTATTCATCATTTTTGGCGCAGGCAGGAGCCTAAATACCACGACACCGCGGCTTATATGAACATCCCAAAGTTACTTTGTTAATCCGATTTTTGAACTGCCTAAGGTCAGTAGAACTGGGAAAAGCCTCCTATTGTAGATTGTTCCACAATATCGGGACCCTAGAGACATAGGAGCGATCGTACCGGCCAGTTCTGCATGTACGAAGTTTGACAGGCTTAGGGTGGGAGGCCGAAGTGAACGGGTCTCTCTGGCAGGAACATCTCGCGGTGGCATCATGGAGGAGAGAGGGCTAAATCGACGACGGCCCGCCGGTGCGAAAATGCCCGAGACTGTCTGTTAGAGATGAGTCGGACAGCCCTCCTCTGGGCAATGTAGCCGGAGCGTCAGTACCCCAAACATGTGAGCAATACTCGAGGCTAGGTCTTACCTGTGCCTTGTATAGTGTGAGGTCATGTGGAGAAAAGTACTTCGTAGCCCTAAAAAAATAGCCTAGCTTTTTCCCAGCAGCTGCTGCTATTGACGAGATGCATTTGTGCCAGATAAGTCGAAATGAACTGCTCTTTGGCAGAACTCGGCCATCCATCGAAACGATCATTGTGAATTATAAGCTACGTAAAAATGAGGAAATTTTATCAGAGAATGTGCTAAAATTCCCATTACAGATCCCAGGTAATCGCAAGAGCCACAATTTTTGCTTGATATAATACCTTATAACAGAGTGTATGAAGGCTATAAATTAAAATTATCTCATTTATCACCTTCAAAGAAGTTCAATGTTACGAAAGTGCGTTATAATTTTCTGCTATAAGGATTTTTATTTTTTAATGTTGCCTCGCTCGGGTAAGCGGATGAATTTGCGTATGTTTTACGTTTTATAGCTGACAGATTATCAGTTATTATGAAGGCATTGGTTATTTACGAGTAAAGCAAAATTAGTTCTTTGAGAGGAAATTTCAAGTTGGAGGCACCTTTACGCAAAGGTTAACGCTAGCGCAAGCTAGATTACGATCCAGATACAGAAACGCCTCCTCCCTGGCAGTAGGGTTGTGCTTAAAAGCTAGGCATTTTTTTGAGATTATTCCTGTTAAGCATTGCGTTTTTAATATACGGAGTGGGGTGTTTCAGAAAGAGACAATATTTCTAAGGTAGAAAGTATATCTAAAAGTAACAAAAAAAGTCCTATAAATGTGGGTCCAAATATGCTCCTCAACCGAGATACAGGATGATGGAGTTTTATTTACGAATTTAAAAAAAAAGTCCACAGAGCGGGAAAGGATACCGACTTACGATTTTCGACGATTGGAGAGCACATTATCAGCAATAAACATACAGTTTCCCGGCCCGAACTAAGCCAGGGACGTAAAAACTGGGGCACCTGGACTTAATTGAAAACTCTATTTTGTAATACTCGTACACAGACTGAAACATGTTAAAATTTTAAGCTTTAAATTAGTTTCATTTTCCATTTTCTTAAATGAAAACTATACTGAGTGACAAAAAAGGTAAACACCGACGTATGTTTATCCGATTTTAATAATTTTCGGCATATATACAGGGTGTTTCAGAACTAAGGGATCAAACTTCTAGGGGTTATTCAGTGTAACAGTAGAAAACATTTGAGTATAGGGACCCATATCCGGTCACTACGGGCTTCATCAGGCCCGAAA